ATTTTTGTAACGCAAAATAAATATATATCATATCATAAGAGTTATACAAAATACAAATAACATAAACACTTGAATAAAATCAATAAACCAAATAAAAAATACTATAGATTAGATTTTATTAAATATTAAATTATTGTTTAAAAATATCTAAAAATGTTAAATATGTTATATACATGGAGATTTTCGAATTTAATTTTCCACTTTTTTGGCAACAAAATTAGTATGATCCATAAATATAGGTAGTTTCTGTTTTTTATTATTTATTTATTTATTAAAACATTTTTGCTGTCATTAGTTTTGTTTGGCAATTGAAATATATTTCATGAAATTTTTTTTTAAAAAATTGGGTCTGTTTGGCTTCAAGTTGTCCTTCTCAATTAATAGTATAGATGCTTACTTGTATCCAAAATAATTATATTTAATATCATCATTATGCAACAAACGAGTCAGATCAATCATATATAATTTTTGTAAGATATAATATTTCTACAAAATATTAGTCGGTTTTAGTATTGTAATATTTCGTTATCGCCATCGACGGCATATTTAGAAGTCAAGCTTTCAGCAGCACTAGTCTACCTATTTGTCGTCGACACGCTTACGAGCTGTAGACTTTTCTTTCTGCAACTTCGTACGTATATTAATTTGTTATTTATGCAAGTGATATAGTGCGGTAGTATCTAATCACTTGGTTTTTTTCTACATAGTTAATTAATCTAATAGTCCCTAACCACGTTGCCCAATGAATTGTCATCTTTGTTGTTTTCTTGTTTTTTCTTTTAGTTACAGAAAATACATTGTCTATCTTTAACCACAATCCTTCTTGCTGCTCCTACACAAATTCCAGAACCGATAAACAATGGGCTTCTTCAACTATGTTTAAGCCCAACTTTTTGAACGACAATTCTAGTTTATGTGTGAATGTGAATATATAGTAAATACAATAGCCTTGCCCAAAAACCCATATGAGAGAAGTTGAGAACCTAAACAAATGATAATAGCATCACCAAATATTTGAATCACCGAAGTGGCTGAATATTTCGTAACCTTACTTTTATATAGATATTAAACCAGTAAACTACAGGGATTTATCCAAATGGGTTATGTTTGCTTATAGCTTCTTCGTTTTTCTTTTTTGTAATTAGTAGATTTAGCATATTGGATCTTGGGGTTTGGTTGATGGCACGCCCGACTAAGTCCGAAGATGAGTAGGGCATGTTACTAAATAATTTGCTAAAAAAATCACATACATAACATAAGGCATGCGCGCATAGTTTGTACTTTGTACGCAGTGGAATATCGAAACTGAATCTGTAACGAGTTTACACTCTTGGATCTTGGTAGTTGTTACTAGACACATTCCATTGTTCCACACCACACATGGGTTACGATTGTATATATTTTATATTTACATGTAGTTGAGACTCGAACCTTCCAAAGCAACGAGCTTATGATTAAAGACTTACATCAAATTCAAATCATCCAAGTTAATACGTTATACGTTACATTAGTTTTTCTTGTTCTGATTATTTAAATTCTATATATTCACAAGAAAAACTAACTATTGGAAACATAATTCAACACTAAAACATAAACATTTCGAAGGTACTGTTTTTCTTATAACAAGTTTATAAATTCTTTTTTTCTGAATGTTTCTTCAAAATACTAGGCTATCAATATAATTACTTGTCAATTCCTTACATGCATTTAATATCTTTATTTCTTTTTCTTGGACAAACACATGTAACTATTAAACACATGCATATTAAAAAAATCACCTACCACACACACTCAGCGGTTGAACATCTATTAAATTTCCGACACAAAAAAAATAAAAGATTGAAAACAGATAAACCCACAACACGTAAATACGCACATAACGATCAATACCTTTTCAATTTTTTGTATGTTTATGTTGTGTTTTTATTGTTAATTGGGATGATTAAAAAATAAAAATAAAAAAAGTTGGAAAAATGGCGAAGTTTGGTTGCACGAGTAGGAAGCACCAAACAAAAATGGATATAAAATAGACTAAAAACTGAAAAGGAGATCAGTTCTCGTAAAATTTAGGTCCCCTCCCGGCCCATAGCTAAGCTAACTTTACATTTTCATTGGTACAACACTCAACACAACAACACTCCCATGTTAATTTCCACACCCCAAAAAATATTGATAAATAATTATAAAGGAATCCTCCTTTTTATATGATCAATGTTGATACTTCTTCTTTTTCTCCTTTTTTATTGTGTGGTTCTAATATTAGTGTGATGATTAATTTATTTTGTTGATGTATATAATATGATCACACATGTTTACGATAATATAGAGATTATGTTATTCCAGTTAGTAATTTGATAGTGTCGATGCATGGTGGGCTATATATGCAACCCTTTTGGTTAAACGATCTAGTACTTATTACAAATAAAAAGTCGCAGCCTAACAGTAACTTAAGTTTTCTTTTTCTTATCAACAAAAAAAAACTTAAGTTTTCTATTGAAACATAGTTTTGAAAAGATCCAAAGTTTCTACAGTTTATTGGCAAAGAAAAAAAAGATAAAAGGGAGGCAAGAGCCATTGTCATGTTAGTGTTAGGGAGGACCATTCCTCGAAGATATGATGAAACTGACCCCAACTTTTTTTTTCTTTTGGTTCTTTTCATATTTTTTTATGATCAATGTAAAAACTCTATTTTCTTTTTTTTTTCTAGTGGCCAATTCATTGAGCGACACGTGGCTTAGTTTCATGGAAGTGAGAAGATGCTTTATTCTAATCGTAGCCACGTCATTTTCACAATCCACTCACACACAGACACACCTCTTCTTTCACATTCACGCTATTGTGCGGTCGTGGCTGATCCCTTCACGTGGGTCTCTCAAATCTTTTGATTTTTTGGTTTTACCCACAAGAATAAAAAATCACCGGATTCGTCATTTTTTTTACTCCATCATAGTCGTTACATGTTTACTTAAAAAGTTAAAAACCCCTCGAAGAAAATACAATAATGATGTTTAAAAACTTGAAGGGGTTTTAAAACATCGAAATTTAAATAAAATATAAGCTAATTAAGACAGAGACTAGTAATGAATAAGGTATTAACAACTAAAGAGAATGTCGACGAAACGTAGCGGGAAGACCGTTTTGAGGGATTGGAAATGGACTGTACTGTATTCCTTTCTCTCCTCCCTTCACTTCCCATCTGCATATACACAAATCCAAAAAAATATATACCATTTAATAACCAAAAACAAATATGTGTGTGAAAGCATATAGATGTTTGAGTCATGTACTTCTTAGGAAAAGAATAGCGGTGTGCTTAATCATGTTTAGACAAGTTACTATGCAAAGTGTTTATTATGTTTTGTGTACTGTCATTAATTTTAAATTCTTGTTTCTTTGACACGTTTTATTAAGTTTGTAACATAAATAATTATAATGTAAATGATCGAGAAAGAATTAAAAGTGTCCTTGTGTGTATTGAGTAAGTATTATGCTTAGACAAATTTGTATATAAGGTCGTATCTAATAAATAAATAACTATGTAGTCGGACAGTACGTAGACATGTGGAGCTCATGTTGTAATAAATCATTCATTAGGCTAAAATTTTATCGTGCATGGAATTAAGTTAAAAATTATACTAAGAGAAGAAAAGAATAATACCCGAAACTGGAAGTTAAATGGTGGAGAAGTATCAGAATTTGTAACTTGGCAAGTTCGTTTCCTGGACATGCATGAACTCCACTTCCAAAGGGCATGAACGTATTCGGCTTCGGATTCACCTTCAAGTAGTTTCGACCAGTTAACACGTACGTTAGATTTATCTTTTTTCAAGAGTAATAAACCAACTTTATACGTAAGTTTTTTTTAATTATTTACCTCGAATCTAGATGGATCGAAAACCTCAGGGTCTGAATAATATTTCGGATTGTGATGAATATTCCGAAATAGTGGCATCACTTTCCATCCCTTAGGTATCAAATATCCTGTATACAATGCATGTTACAAGAAAAAAATTATTAGTGATTTATATGTATTTGGACCACCACGTTTTGATAACAATAATACAAACAAACAAAAAAGCTTAATATAGATATAGAATGTTCTAGTAGTGTGGTGACATGATTTCAATTAGTACCCTTATATTCAACATCAACCACTGCTTCTCTGAATGTGAAGGATATGATGCTTGACATCCTCAAGCTCTCAGCTATAACCTATTTCATATAACATCAAAACATGAGCTGAATGTTAAAGGTAGTCCATATACAGAAACCTAAATATTAATTATGTGATTAATCAAATACCTTATGTGTTAGGGGCATATTCCTCGTTTGTCCCCATGTTAAACGTTTCTTCCCTCTACTGTTTTCTTCATTTATAGCCCTTTGCTCAGTCTGCAATCATTATGAACGTACATAGATTTAAGGATATATATACACACAGAAGAGAGGAGGAAAATATTAATTATATGCATGTGATCAAACCTTGACAGCTTCTAGAAGCTTCTGATCATCATGTAAGTACTTAAGAATCCAAGTTAGGCAACTAGCTGTCGTGTCTTGTGCGGCGAAAAGGACTCCGATGATGTTGTCTGCAATCTGTTCTTGGGTTAGGACACGGCCTTTTTCATCCTTGAAGTTGAGTAGATGACCGAGCAAGTCCGTTTGCAAGACCCTTTTCTCTCTTCTTTCGCAGATAATCTCGCTTACTATCCTCTTTAGCCTATTTCTCGCCTAATTTTAAGGAATTTTAGTCAGTTAATTGTTGAAGTTTAGTTTAATTTTATGGAGATTGGTTTATTTTTTTCGTTCTAGAAATGAGATTACCATGAGAGCTTTGTGATAAGATGTTCCGGGGAGACTCATGGGGAAAGAGTTGTAGCCTTTTTCCACAATATTGTAGTTATGTTTCAAGATCTCTTTGTAAGAACACTCCAAATGCCCAAATATGGCTAGAATACCCACATCAAAGGCAAACTGCAAGAGACAAGTTTATCTTGTGTATTAGGATTTGTCAGATATTACCTGATAAAGAAAGTTGCATTTTGTGAGTTTGTTTGCTGTGTATACGTATATGACCATATATATAAATACCTTCTTCATCTCTTGGTAGGTGGAGACGATACCCATATTGGACCAAGATTGTAAGGAAGAGAGGGCAATGTGCTCGATATCAGGGATGAGTTTACGGATGGTTTCAGGGTATAAAGAGGACTGAACAAGTTTCCTTATATGGGAATGATAATCTCCTTGGTGGAAAAAGAGCGCAGAGGGTCCTATTAGCTTCTCTTTGCTTCTCGGATAAGTTGGTCTGAACATATGGGCATGAGTCACAAGGACAAACTTCGCGGCCTCAGGGCTAGCCAACATCACGCAAGGATAGCCGAGGATTCGGGTTTTGAATATCTCTCCATATCTATACATCATAAGATAAAAACATAAATCTAAGAGCATAACCGGAAAGTAACTTGAGGGACAAGCTTTTGAAATTACCTATTTTGCTTGGAAGTGAAGAAGACACTGGGGTCTTGTGAATAGAGTTGTAGAGTCTCTCCTAAGTAAGGCCATCCCATAGAACCAGGGGGAAGCTTACCTCTGCTGTTCTTTTTCTTCTTTGAAACAATCACTCTTGCCAAAAGCAAGCAGATCAAGAAGAAGCTTGGTATTAACAAGAGCCAAAGTTCAGCCATCTTCAGTTTAATGTTCCGTTGGTGATAAAATGTTTTGGAGGATGAAATAAAATTTGAAATCGGGAGGATGAGGAAGAAGAAGAAGAAGAAGAAGAAAATATGGAACAAAAGACACACAAATACATAAGAGAGAGGTGGGTATATATACACACATAGAAATTGTGGAGAAAAAAAAAACATATTTGGTATTTATATATTTGATTTTTTATATATTATTGTTTTGTTTTATTTTCTTCCAAAACGTAAAAAGATGACGACTATACTATCTATCTAGTCACAGTTTTGGCTTCTCAGGCGAAAAAGCTGAATAGATCTAAATATAGATCTTGTCGATTCTTATTTATTGTAGAAGGATATAGACAATTTTTATTATTTCAATTTTATTTTGGTGTCTTACAAGAATATATGTTTTTTTAATATTATTTATGAATATATGTTTTAATTAATGAGGGTGCTAGAAATCGCGATTTAGTTTATTACTGTTGATATACGTACTGGTACTACTGCCTTTCTTTTTAAGGATATGAGCAGTGTAATTAGCTACGACAACGTTCATATTCCGTATTATATTAGTGCAAATATTTTTTGATATACAAACATCCTCTTTTCTTCAGTAAGGTCTTTTACAGAGAAAAATATGAATGTGTAAAAAAAAAAAAAAATTAAAATATTAGTATTAATAAAATTAGTTGTGAAAATTTTCGACCAATCACAGTTTAATTTTAAATCTGACAGTCTATCATGTTAATATCAAATGAAAAAAAAAAAAAAGAATTTGTTCCCTAAGAAAAAGAAAACTAGAAAAACACAAGTTTTTGGTTTTCACATTGTCAAGTGTTAATTTTCCAATGAAAAGTCAGAAGGTGGTTAGTTAACTGAGATTAGAAGTGTAGTGCTATGCGTTTTCAGAGATATCCACAAAAATCGAGTCCTTTCCATAATTGCCTGAAACATAAATTTTCTCTAGCTATCTCTCGGTTGACCCAAGACAAAACGAGATCTCTCTCTCGCTATATATCTCATTATTTACTACACAGTACGTAGATGAATTATACAACCTTTTCACATTTTTAGCCTACGTACTTTTACTTATACATATATATTTTTTTTTGCTACAAAATGTACATCTTCTAATATATTTTAGCTACAGTACATTTATTTTGTTGCTTTGTAGGGTTGGGATAAGCCCTGTGTTGAGTCCAAAGAATGTCGACAAGCCATTATAATTAACTAAAATCATCATTGCGATAGCTAAAAGTGTATATATTTGTGTTAGAGGTCGTCGTCGACCAGGAATATATAATAGCGCATATGTTTAGGGATATATATACCAATATACCATGATGATTACATTTGCAGAGCGATACGAATTCATTAGTAGTGGGAACGAGATATTGTGGAACCATGCATTTCATTCCAAGATTATAAAATGTTGCATGGCATTGGCTTATTTATATACCCAATGAACGACTTGCAACATACAATTTGATCACCGGCGCCATGTAGGCATTATATATCAAACATGGTAGTTGGTTTGAAGAATTCGAAAGAAATACGCGTCTTCTAGCATTCTATAGGAAAAAAAAAAAATTAGCATTAAAAATTACTTCTAATTTTATTTCTTGATTTGATGTGATTAACGTTTCTAGTTTCTTCTCTACATGATATATAACATTTACGGAAGTGTTTTATAACAAAAATTGAATCATGGATGTGAATATAGCTTTTGAAGTTTACATATCGAGATCTACGTACGAAAATAACAGGTGCATTATATTGCTCGTGACAAATTATTTCCTTACAAGGCATAATCCAATTCTATAAGGGAATTGCCATTTTCAGTAACATAACCTAATTATGATCTTATGTTGGTTGCGTATTATTCTTTAATTTAGAGATCGATCTAGTAGTTTCTTCTTTGTTCGAGTTTTATGACTATTTAATTTGAAATCATTTTAGCTATATTTGCATATTGTGCTGTTTATATCAATAAATAAAATGAAAATATATGTACCTTTATGCCCAAGAAAATAGTAATATATATATATCAATATAACTCTTAGCTCCTCCGAAAGGTTTGGAACTTTCAGTATGAAAATATTGATATTTATAAGACTAGTAAATACATATTTTAGATGAATACATGTAGCTAGGATTATTGATGAAATGAGAGGTGACGAATTTGTCCGAATCATATAAAGTTATAGATGAAATATTACGAGGGAAAATGAAATGGACTTATGAGAGAACAAAGTCGGTGCCGGTGCCTTACACTTACCAATTGTCTCCGTCTGATTTGAACCTATAGGCTAACAAAGTTCACAAAAATATATATATTTTTTATAATATATTTTTCATGTACATTTCATAATTAATTGGCCAAATGGTCTTTTTTTAACTGGCCAAATGGTTGTATTGATGTAACCTTACAATACAAGAATAAGAAGTTATTTGCTTAACATGATATGATTTTCAAACATAGCTTAATATAATATCGCTCCGATACAAAATGTACTACTCTAATAGTTATTGATCATAAAACGATATTAAACATGCTATTTTCGGTTTTGCTTACCGCTTTAATAACCACTAGAAAAAATGTAACGTTTAATGTCAATAATAGTATTTTTAAACACTTCACTTTCGTCTGTTCATATTTTTGACTTTTTCACGCAATTTAAAATATCATGGATTCATAGTAGTTTTCTTGCTAATTGTCAAAACAGCCATATATAAGTATATAACTTACGTAAAAGACTATTTTATTGTCATGCATAATTTTTTTTTTAAAGTTGTGTAACACTTTATACCCTGGATTGGAATCTTGGATGATAAGATTATCTTTCGTAATATGGAATTTTATTTTTATAAATAGAAAAACGATGGCGGCCAGAAATATAAAAATGTGGTGAAGGGGTAGTTGCCGTCAATTGGGTGATCTAAAAAAAGAAAGAGAAAAATAACGAAAAAGGAAATATATTTATATTTTTAGGTTGCGGGAAGAAGAGGGGAGGGGAGGGGAGGGGAGCAATCCAGTGGGAGTCGGCGCATTTTGTGTTCACGTGATGACGTGACACAACGATGTGGGACTCAACTCAAGTCTCAAACTCATCCTTAATAATAATAATATTGCAATACAGCTCAGTTGTGTTGTTTTGTGACTCTTTTGTGTTAGAAATAATATATTTACATATATCTTATTTTTTTTTTTTTTTTTATTACTCAGGGTAAATTCCCGAACCTATGGAAGAATCCGAAACTAATCCCTGGGGAGAGGGTATCCCACGGATAGGGTCCCCCCAATTTTTCAAATAGACCTTAAGCAAGAGGGTCATACCCATGTGGCCAAAAAGATAAAGCTAGCAATTCTGCGTCCGGGAAAAATCGATCCCTGGCCTACACCAACAGGGCGACTCTTCCACCAGACTAGAACCACTAGCCCACCACCTCTGGTTTACATATATCTTATCTTGTACTAGAGTATTCACACTTGATACTATAACTAATATAAGAAATAATATATTTACATATATCTTGTCTAACATTTTGGTCATTCTACCATAAGATTGCGGGAACCTCTCTCCGTCGTTTCCGGTGAACAAATGGGTCCGACCACCGTACGGAGCTAAGCTAACACGTGGAAGATGGTTAAGGTGCGCGTGGGACGCAAGCTCCGGATGACATCAGGTGATTCGTGTTGTTACTGTTTTGGGGATCAAAGACTGTTAACAATTCTTAATAAGGGTCTGATCAGTGATCATGTGTGTGTGTAGTATATGGACACAACACAACACAACAAATTAAAGGAACAAAGTGGAAGACAGTTTAACTTGTTATTTTCTTTAGTTGGTCGGATCTGGAGTCTTCCATAACGCAACGGCAACCCCCATTTTATTGTTTTTTTCTTTTTTATTATTATTTTTATACGACCTCACCACACTAAACTCATACGATGTATTTTTTTAGGTTAGCATGCACAAACAGTTTTAAAAATCTATAGCAAATTTTACCCTATCTTCTATAGTAGGCAACAGAATAGCTAGATAGACAGTAAAATACAAGTTTTACATGTGATAAACGAGAATACGAGACTATGATTTAACAATGCAACCACTGCACTAAAACAGTTTAACCATCGAGAATTATTAACTTGGTGATCAATAAAAGGTCATACACAGATTTGTGTTTGTCGGTAAAACTCTTATGGAGTTATAATAATTAATCAAGCCATTAATTAACAACAAATTTTGTAATCAAAATGCACTTCTTTGACTTGGCTCCACATGTATAGCTTACAAGTGCACTCTTTCTCTTTCCCTAAGTGCTTTTAGATTTTGTAATTATTAAATCAACGACAAATAAATTGTTATAATGATTATAATTGTTAGAATCATAGTACTTGACATGCAAGGTAGTGACACGAGTAAGCCCTTTTTCTTTTCTTTTCTTTTTTCCATTTTCTGTTAAGCTAAAGTTTTTTCACAAAATCTTACCCATAATTTGTTTAAGTACTAAAATTCACAGCTCAGAATTTTACGACACATATTTCATCTGTTTTACTTTCTCTCTTTCTTGTGTCAAATATGAAATACTCATCAATTATATCGTGTGGGACAAAAATGTAGATATTTAACACAAATAACAAAGACGACGTAGATATTTCTTGAGAGAGATCACGCGCATGGAGAAAACAAAACTTTACATTGCTTCTTATACACCATACCTTTTAATGATCAATAATGCCTTACTTTCCTTTTTCTTACGATACACATCCTTATATACAGTGTTTATTTATATAATAAATAGATATTAGTCTATATATATGTATAGAGATAAAGTGATGAGTGTGGGTAATGATTGGGAGGTTTACAAATGGAGCACAAGAGAGGGATGACTCATGCATAGACACTCCAAACCCTTCAATTATAGACTTTGCAGCATGCATATGATATTGAATCTTCTCCTTTTAATTATTCTCTCTTTTTCACTCATGCACTCATCTTTCTTCCATTTCTGTACGGCTCTTCCTCTCTATAATTATCTTAGCAGATAATATATTTATGTTTATCTTAATAGACTTTGTGTGAATATATATATTTATCTATTTATGCAAAGCTTACGCATTAGATTAGCTAGATATAATACATATATACATATGTATCGTTGTAAAAGATGTAGGTGTTAAGAATAAAGGTTATAATTAAGCACATGTTTGATAGTGGTTAGGTTAACACTAATATTCCCACTGACGATTCAACAAAACCAAAACTCTAGCTAGTTTGAGGACATGTGTTTGGTTCATAAAGGTCGAACAATTTAAAGTGAATCCATGTACTGTAAGCCTATTAGTGAATGTATCACTTAATCTCTGATGATAAAGATACTACAAGCTTTGGTTGAAACATGACAGGAGCATGTTTCAAGTATGTCATTGGTCTTACATTTTTTATTATTTGTTGGATTCATATCAGTTTTCAGAAAATTCGGGACAGTAACAAGATGGAGATTTAACGGTTTTTTAGCCACTTTTGGTATAAGCAAACATTGTAATATCATAAAGTAGTGTTTGGTAATACAATATAAAAAAAAAAATTATGAAAAAGAAAATTGCAAGATTAGATTTGCAAGAAAAAAGGAGAGAAAGAATAAGAAAAGAGTAAACCCAAAATCATTGCCAAATTTGTAACTCTCTTCGCTCTACTCCACTCATGTCTAGTTCATATGTTATCTCTTTCAAACTTGTGTTTCATTTTTTTCACATATATTAACACTACAATTAAAACCGAATTTTTTAAAAAATTATATCACTAGCTACAGTAAATTGGAATAACATATGCTTTAACTCTATCTTATCCATAAATTCATATACCGACATCTTTTTTACGTGCATGAGAAGTGATTATATTTTTCCATTTGGTCAGGGGTTTTCACATGGTCTTCCCGGGGCCTAGGGGGATTACGGCCTACAGTTCGAACCTTCTGGTAATCAAAAAAAAGAAAAAAAAAAAACTTTGAGAAGTGATTATATTTGATCGTCATTGATAATAATGTATGTAGTTGCTTGTCATTCTCTCGTAGACTAGTTTATTAACAAACTACTTCTGCAAAGTTTGTAACTGAAAAGTTTTTTTCTAATAACTCAAAACGCTATACTTACTTATTCGATATCCATCAATAAGTAACACTAAAGACTAGCAGTGATTATTATTCTCCCTTACTTAAGTTCTCCACACAAGTCGATTGATATGTAAGATAAGACAGATTTACATAAGTTAGTGTAAATGACTCAATAATATGAGACAGAAATAAAGATGATGGAGCAGCATCCTAAAAAGACTTTAGTCAAAGATCATGCTCGAGGCAAAATCAGACAGTGGGATTCTCTGTCCATGTAAGAGTAAAAAAAAACAAAATTTGATTAATATATTTTCCCACTTCCATTCCATATCATCATGACTTGTAACCGATTATCAAAGATTTCTCTTTGATTTATTGTAAAATCAGAAAGAAAGAAAATGTCAATCAAATACAAGATCCATGCAGTATCTGTAAATCAGTTAAAGCTGATCTGAAAATATTTGTGGCACTTTGTGTTTTTATCAAGCTATTCTTGATTTCTTGAACTTATGTGTAATGCATGTACCCCAATAAGACAAAGCAAAAACTGTTTTATTTTTATATGTACACATTCCCTAAATCAGCCTGAGACAAACTACATTTAAAGCTGGTTTCACAAATTATGAAAATAAACTTTGGTTCTCTTCTAAACTGGGGCATGAGTTATAAATTTATAATAGTTTAGACGAAGACAACTTCAAACTTGGCACAAGGGTTTCTCTGTATGTGAGTATTGAGACTTGAGTTTCCTTCGAATTTGAAGTTGTAAAGGGCTTGTCTTTGAGTCAAACCAAGCGGGTATATCCCGTGTACTCTAAGCTCACTGTCTCCTCTTATGCTCGCTGGTCTCTCCTTCTTCCATATTGGCTCATGTCCCTGAGACTTGAACTTTGCGAGAATTGCAGATTTCAGGGCTTTCAAAGTCAGATTCCCATCCCTGTCACACCATAAGTATTGAGCCAAACAATTTCCATATCGTTATTTTCCTCGTTTTGGTTAAGAGATGAACAAGCGGATACGGATTAGTATTGGCTTACTTTAAGAAGATTGATTCCATATCGAACCGGCCTCTTTCTCTAACATACAAATGGTAAACTGTCTCTGAGCCTCTAGTGCATTTGCAAGGTCGTCTCTTAAACTCAGGGCTCTTCTCTTCTTGCTCCCGGATCTTTGTAGCCACGAATATGCAGAGACGGCAAGAAGAGTGGACAGCAGCCATATCAACTAGTGCCTTAAAAGAATCCGAAGGGCCTTCGTGTTTCCATCTGATTAAAAAACAGAGCTTTGGAGCTTTTCAATATGTCTAAACATGTTCGTCTTTCGTTTTCATTCTGGAAAACATTTTTACAATATTACCACACCTTAGTGTCTGATTGTAGGCATCAGGGTTTTCCACAAGATACTTCATTCTCTTTGCAACTGAGTTGACATCATCAATCTGCTTTATGTGAAGGAATGACTCTGGAGAAGGTGCAAATTCTTTTATATTTGGAGCTCCAACAACCACAGGGACAGATCCTAATAAGAAGAATTGATCATTTTTTCATAATAAAAGTATCAAATTGATCATATATTGCTAATCAGAATTAGAAAACAAGGTAGCTTTAAAGCTCACGTATATGATGAACTACATATATAAATCACCATACGTTCATTAATTGACATGATAATAAGCTGAGATCATGCAAGATGACTAACAGTTAGAGTCGCAATATAACAGTCTTCCAAATTTCACCTGGTGTCTGAGAAGGCAATAATAGATAGCTACTTCAATTTAGACAATGATTAGTATGAAGGTTAATGACTCATAAAAGATTCCTCTAATGTTACTAACGGACACAAACATGGCAGGGTGTTTTGTGACGCATAATCCAACCCAAGTATCCGAGAAATATGGATTCGGGTAGCCTAAATAGTGTTTGGTATACACTATCCCTTTCCCACAAATGGTTGGCTACATGTTGATACTGTAAACTGAAACCTTAACCCAAATCACACACAAAGAATCCAAATACTACCTGAAATACCAGAACTGAAATCTGAATTTATACAGGACTTAGTTTACATTGGCTATAAATTTCAGGCATTGATTTTGCTTAGCCTAACTAACCATAGATGAACTTTTTTAGGATGAAGTTTGTTTTTCAAACCCGAATCCACCGAAATGGCGAAATGGTAACCCATAGACACAAAATCGCAAATGCTAATTCCTATAATGAAGCAGACACTAAAGTTTGATCGGCAGAGAGAGAAAGAGATCTATTTATACCAGCGACTAGAGATTGGAAGAACTTCTCTGTGACATAATCCTCCTCGTTGGTGTTCTCAAAAGCTAGACTGAATCTGTAGTGCTTAAGAGCCTCAACCTTCTCCACTGTAATGAATTTCCGTAAATTATTGGTTCAAAGACTTGATATGGTAAGACATAGAACATTTCGCTAGCAATGCACAATACATACCTCTCCCATCTCGGTTCCGGTGACAACCACCATAAGAATCAATCTTAACATTCGCCGCCATTAAAGCTTCAAGAGCTTGAATCCTGAAATTCCGAGCCGCACAATTGGAAATAAAAGCTGCCGCAAGAGCTTTCTCGGTCTTTGGTTGCACTGGAGCCATAATATCATATTCTGCCCATGAGAAATACCCAACAGGAACATCTGAAGAAAGACTAGTTGTCATCACAATATTATAACCCCTCCTGATGAAAAAACAAAGATAAAATGTCACTTTTTACGGAGTTGTACATGTCCTGCATACGAATAACGTCCTGTTAAAATTATGCTTACCCACCGTCGTGCATGAGAAAGATCGTTCTGTTGGTAGTACTGTGCTGATTCCATGGAACGGATTATACTGAGTGTTCCAGGTTGATGACCTAATCCAAAAGCCGCATCGGGTTTCTTATCTGAAGTGAATCCCATTGTACAATGAACAGAACACGATTGGAACTCCTACAATTGAGAGGAATGAAGTCAATAACCACTCATCTGAAGCTCATCCTCCAATATTTGGACGACAATAATCTAGTGCCAACCTAACTAATTAGGATTCGTGAAAACAGAAAGAAGAGCTGCTCTCTATTATCATTCAGAAGAAAGAATCACTGTATCCGCATCAATGTGTATAACTGGTAAACCACAGTATCCAATCAACATTACCATACATATATAATTTTGCTCATTCCGTGGTCACACATTACTACCATCCAACAGCTAGTTACCAAGCAAAAGCCTCAATTTTTATCATTAATCACAGCAATTTAATCCTCTTGACTTACTCTGCTATGAAACTTGAGCTCAAAAGAAGATAACTAATCACCCAGAGAGACTATATATTCATAATTTGATAACAGACATATGAATCTGGGGCAAACCTTATCACCACCAGAGATAAAGATGGGATCTTTACTGAAATCTCTAGAATAAGTCACTGAATCCACTCTCTCCAACCACTCTATGCATTTCTCCATTCCCGACCCAACCTTCAAATCGGACGACGACTTGGTGAAAAAACCGGTCAATGTATCGACCAAAGTAGCGTCATCGAGCCGACACAGAAACCCGATCTCGATGATGACAACGAGAGCCACAAAGATAGGCAAAAAGCTCGACACTTTACGCCTGAAAGAGGAAGAAGAGCCATTTGCTACAGGCAATTCTTCATGGGTCGATCCAATTTTAGATCCTCGAAGATTGGAGAGAACACCCATTAAACAAAGCTACGATTTTGTCAGAAATATGATTTGATCTTTTTTTGTTTGATTGATGAGAAAGTAGCAAGCACACTTGGGCTTTCAAAGTCAAATTGTTTTTGTATTTTATATGATTTGTTTGGGTGGAATGTTTTGTATTCGTGAGCATGTTTTAGTATCAGGTTAATAAATAAATTGGACGATGTGAAATTTGGATTTTGGAAGAAGCCGGAGAATTCTATCCGGAATCGATTCAAATCAAATCACGTATAGGTTAAAAGATTCGTCCTTTAGTGCCCAAGGCGGCTAAAACCATGTGAAGAAGAGGATGATCATCTTTACTTTGTTTAAATGATATACTTAGCTTTTAGAGAAGAAACAGTTGCTAAAGAAGTGATCACATGAGAAAGAGAGATCATATCTATCTTTACATGCTTCAATTGGAAAAAAATACACTAAACATTATGGAACCTCAATGAAATATATGGAGATTTGTTACTTAAAAAATATGTAACATTTTTGTTAGAAGAAAATAGAAACTAAAATACATAGAAATTTAGAGAAAAAATAGATAAAATATTAGTTAATGAAAACTCAAAGATACTACAACAATAACATATACTAATTAAATAAATAGAAGATATATAGTGTAAATAAAGATAAAAATTTAAAATGTATGATCTATAAAATCTTATTATATAAACCTTGGTTTTCAGAGTTAGTCATTAACAAGATCGTGACACGTGTTAACTGAATTAATAAGATGCTGACATGTGTCAGATAATTAGTGGCAACCTTGGTTTTCAAAGTTAGCTATTAACAAGATCGTGACACGTATTAACTGAATTAATAAGATTTTGACATGTGTTAGAAATAGTGGTAATAAATTATATAATTTAGTTTAAATATTTTCAAAATTGAAAAAGAAAATAAAAATTCAGGAAATTTAACAATTACTTAGTAGTAATCCTAAAATAAAAATGATAGTAATTATAAAATAAAATTATTAATAAAAAATTATAAAAACTAGGTCTAAGGAATTAAAAAATAACAAAAAAAAAATACAATAATTTAGTCAACTATAAGTTATTCTTAGAAAATATTCGCATTATCGTGAATATTATGTAATAACTATTTGAATAGCAGATTATTTAATAAATAACGTCAGAATAAAATGGCCAATTTGTCATCTACCAAATAAAAAAAAGTGAAAAATATAGCATATTGATTGAAAAAATAAGAAAAATAGGATTAGGGGCATGAAAAATTACCTTTGGTGTTGTGATGTTTTAGTGATAATGGTGGGTGGTGGCTACATGTGGCTGAAAGTGGTGGCAATGGTCGGAGACGGTGGTGTCACAAATGGTGGTGGCGATGGCCGAAGACGGTGGTGGTGGCGATGGCCGGAGACATCAGCGGTGGCGGTGGCCGGAGACGGCAGTGGTGGCAGTGGCCGGAGATAGCAGCAGTGGCAGTGGCCAAAGACGACGGTGGTGGCAGTAGCTGTTGGTGGCCGGAGGTTGTGGCTGCTGGTCACCGGAGGCATTGGTAGTCGATAGCCGGAGGTTGTGGCTGCTGATCACCGGAGGCATTGGTAGTCGATAGCCGGAGGTTGTGGCTGCTGGTGGCCGGAGGCGGCGGTGGTTTGTGGCTGGATGTTGAGCGGCCGGTGGCTGGAGGTGGTGGTGGTAGGAATGTGATGATAAGTCAGAACACCAGACCCTAAAGATAATAAATTCTCAACCCAAACTTTTAATCATGTAATGTGGTTAAACATGTCAATAATACATATATTACAATGAATATAAAATTTTAGTGGTTAGAGTAGTCACTCGCTTAATTATAGTTCTTTTGAATGTTAAATCTACTAAAATCTCAATTAAAAATTTCATTAAAAATAATTATAAATAAACAATGCAAAAACACTAAAAATATAAAAAATAAGGATTCATAAAAAAAAGTGAAATGGGTAACAATACATAAATTAGAAAATAACCAAAACCCGTGCAACGCACGGGTCCATATCTAGTTTAAATAATAAATGTGTGATGCTTAAACGAGTAGTTTATTTTTTTACAAGGCAAACAATTTCTTAGAACATCTTTTGTGGCTAGAGGTCGTCGTCACCAATGCCCTCACCAACCTTTCAATCATTGATTGTATGTAAGCTAGCCACATGCTCGTTTGGGATCTGAAACATTCACAAAAAAGTGAGATCTTAAAATCATAAAAATAATATGAGTACAAATCTACTAGTTAATTAGGATATTATTGACTCTATATTCTCTATGTTATGGTTGAATCTTATTCTTATACAACAGTTGCTAAAATTAATCAGTCTTGGTGATTTGTGTGAATTTGTAAAAAGAGGTCAAGCGGGTTGATATATATGGAGGAGATGAACTCTACTAGCATAACAATGATAGAACAAGTTTACAGATTGTGAATTAGAAGCAAGCATTAAATCTTGGGTAGCATCAAGCCATCAAGGTCGTCGAATGACTCGATGGTAATCTATGATTACATGAACTCATAGATGGGCTCTTCTATTGTATCATGCTCACTCTATACGCCGGTCTAACGTGGCAAAAGTGGATGTGTTAAAATTTAAAGAAAAAACTAAAAAAGCAAAATAAGCAAACATTGTAATAATACCAAAAGAGGAATGAAAACAAAATTTCTGTATTTGGAAGCAATGATCTTAGACTCCACGCAACTGTGTTCTCTCTTTATTATGTTTTTTGTTTTGGAATAGTGCATGGTGTGGTATTCTTATTGGCTTCTAACGACAATGGGGCTCCCATAAAGAAAGCACCACTACCACTTCTATGATCTCTATCTCATGACTAACACTTTAACATATTAAATTATATGAGACATAAGAATCATTTATGTTTTATGATGTAGATAAAAGTCACACAAAACAAAATAATAACACATCTCCTATATCTGGATTGCCATTGGTATAACAAAACGATTAAAAAGAATATATATATATATATATATATATATATATATATATATATATATATATATGGTTCACAAATTTTTTGAAAAAAAAGATATTATAGCATATTTTCATTATTAATGGTTTTACAGTTTGATAAAGTATTTTCATGAGAAACAGTCTAATCAGAATTTATAATAAAATCAAATTATAAAACAGAAAATGATAAAGTTATTTGGATTTTTATAGTATAATGTTTGTGAATCAATTTTTCGTTAAAAGGAGAAAACAATTAAATAATTTAAATTTGGATGATGATATGACGATAATAATAACACAGATCAATAATCTACATATGTATAAGGCCAAATATTATAATTTTTATTTTCAGTCTTATAACAATTTATTTGTATATTAATATCTTTTATAATTTTTTTCTTCTCTTTAACTATTATGCTATGGTTTATTAAATTATTTTCCTCCTCAATATTTTTTTTTTACTAATGAAATTTACGAAAAATATTTCTAGTAGTGCTAATAAAAAATGGTACATAAAGTTAATCAAATCTTATATATTTTCTATGGATAATATCTTATCTAATATGGACATTTACTAAGTCTAATATGGACATTATATTTAGTCTTATCTAATGTATGAATTAGTATGGCTGTTGAAAAAATGTACCATCCTTATCGTCAACCATTTTGGAAAAAGACAAACCAAGGTTTTGAACTTTTTTTATTTTTAGTTTACAAATAAATTTATATCCATTATTTACATTTTCTTTTTGTGAAGATTGCTATTGTGCCACATATTAATTTGAATAATTGGTATAAATCTAAATGAAGAATATTAAAATAGACATATACAGTAATTTCATTTTATAATTTGATCTAAAAGAAAGAATATTCATAATTATGATTTAACTCCAAAGAAATTATATAATATAAAAAATCCAAGCACGATCTCCAACCACTCGAATCCACACTGTCGGAAACAAACGGTCAATATTGTACCACGTCGCGTTCTCTGATTGGATATAAATCTTATACAAGCACTTCATAACTTAATCTCTTTTTTCTCATTCGTCCACGTTTGCTCTTTTTAAATTATAAATTAATTAATTGTTTAAGATATACACAAAAAAAAAATAAAAGAAAAGAAAAAAATCTGAAAAAAAAAAGAGAAAGCTTTCAGCCTTAAAATGGCAGCTCGTGTCGAGGCGGCAGCAACACACATGTCGTCTCTCCCCGCAGCTGCTTCTCTGGAGTTTTCGCAGTCGCGAATCTTATTTTCAAGAAATTAAAATTTTTGTTGGTAAGACATATTTAACCTCTTTTGCTCTTTTATTATTATCCGTTCTGGATCTGTCTCTGTCTCTGTCGGATCATCATCCACTTCGCCAAATTTGTGTTCTCTTTTCTCTGCTGCGTTTATGAATCATGTAGAATTAAGTAGTAAAGGAAGTGACTTTGGTAGTGAAATTTGAGTTTGTGTTGAAGAGAGTCTCTTTACGAGATTAATTTATCGATCTGATTTTTTTTTGTTGCTATTAGGTTTCGATTCGATCGGTTTGCTTTTCATATGGAATCTTAAATAGATCCTTCTCATGCTTGTTGTGTTTTGCGATTTGTATTTTGACTTCATTTTCGAAATTTCCTGGTTTTGCGATTATATTTTGGCATTTTGTTTACAATTCTTGGATTTCGACAATATGTGTGACAAGTGATCTGTTCAAATTATATTTTGGCATTTTGCTGATATGCTCATGTTTGGGTTATGAGTGAACACTGTATCTGGTCTGAATTCATTTTCCGCAGAAAAAAGGTCATCAGTTTACGTTTTTTTTCATAAACGTTATCCAAAGATCTGACCTTTATTGATTGACTTTACTGTGCTTTTGACATTTGTTCACACGCATTTATATGGTTTTTTCAGTAACGCTTTGGTTTTATTTTTTCTTAAATGGATGTGAGAACATGCAGTGTGTGACACACAGCTCACTCCTTTTTAAGTTTCATGGATTCTTAGCATTGTGGATCCCCCCTAATTGCTTTACTTTTACTTTTAGAAGCAGGATTTTAGGGAGTGGTTTGCTTTGAATCCACTGCAGAAGAAGAAGGTGAATACAAGGATTATGGGAACTCATATCAATTTCAGCAACTTAGGAGGTGGTAGCACTTCTGGAGGGGAAGGGAGCAACCAGATGAAGCCAGCGGGTAATGTCATGCCCTTGGCGAGGCAGTCCTCGGTCTACTCCCTAACATTTGATGAGTTACAGAGCACACTAGGTGGACCAGGAAAAGATTTTGGGTCGATGAACATGGATGAACTCCTGAAGAGCATATGGACTGCTGAGGAATCTCAGGCGATAGCTATGACTTCTTCTTCTTCAACTGCTGCAGCTGTTGCTCAACCAACTGCTGGTATTCCCGTTGGGAATCTCCAGAGGCAAGGCTCTTTGACACTGCCTAGAACTATCAGTCAGAAGACTGTCGATGAGGTGTGGAAATGTTTGGTCACCAAGGACAGTAATGATAATATGGGAAGTAGCAGCGGAGGCGGTGGTGAGTCGAATGCGCCTCCTGGGAGGCAACAGACTTTAGGGGAAATGACACTTGAAGAATTTCTGTTCCGGGCTGGGGTTGTAAGAGAAGATAATTCTGCTCAACAGATGGGTCAGGTCAATGGAAACAATAACGACGGGTTTTATGGTAACAACACTGCTGCTGGCGGCCTAGGTTTTGGATTTGGTCAGCCAAATCAAAACAGCATATCATTCAATGGTAATAATGATTCTATGATCTTGAATCAGCCACCTGGTTTAGGGCTCAAAGTTGGTGGACCAATTCAGCAGCAGCAACAGCAACAACATCAGGTGCAACAACAGCAGTTGCTGCAGCAGCAGCAACAACAGCAGTTACAGCAGCTGAATCATCCTCATCCACAACAGCGGCTGCCACAAACCATTTTTCCTAAACAAGCAAACGTAGCATTGTCTGCGCCTGTGAGTATAGTGAACAAGGGTTTTGCTGGGGCTGCAAATAATTCCGTCAGCAATAATAATGGATTAGCTAGTTTCGGAACCGGGGTCACTGTTGCAGCAACTTCTCCAGGGACAAGCAGCGCTGAAAATAATTCTTTATCACCAGTTCCATATGTGCTTAATCGAGGACGCAGAAGCAATACGGGTCTAGAGAAGGTTATCGAGAGGAGGCAAAGGCGAATGATCAAGAACCGGGAATCAGCGGCTAGATCAAGAGCCCGAAAGCAGGTGAGTATTATTAATCCAACCAAACTGTTATCTAACCCCTATTTTTTGGTTTGACTATATTGGTTTTATCTTTTTTACAAAGACTGAATTACATAAAACCAGCAAAATTTCTTCTATCCCAAACCATTTGTAGTATGAAAGATGCTTTATGTTCCATATGTTTCACTATCCTCTAATTGCAGGCTTATACATTGGAGCTGGAAGCTGAAATTGAAAAGCTCAAGAAAACCAATCTAGAATTGCAGAGAAAACAGGTTTTATTCTGTTTCCGACGTTTTCAACATCTCTGTGTTATCTTTTTTTCCCTCTGAGACTTTCGAACTTGCCTCTGAAACATAGCATCCCTTATATTGCAGGCTGAAATGATGGAAATGCAGAAGAATGAGGTAATTGTTTAAGTTCTTTATTTTTTCATAAGTTCATTCTGAAACCCTTGACCATACTTGATTAGGACCAACATCCTAGCAAAAGACCAGACTTAAATTTTAGGTATAATTGTCTATGTTGGTCCTCATCAAGTATGTCCCCAACTGCAACTCAAACTTTAGATAGTTTTTAACATTTCGTCTCTTTGCTTCTGTTTGAATAGCCTTTTTTACTGTGTGGTTCACTAGTACTGCTTTTGAAATTAGCAGCTGAAGGAATCGTCAAAGCAACCGTGGGGCAGCAAAAGGCAATGTTTGAGAAGGACATTAACTGGTCCATGGTGAAGCAGAATGAAGCAACAAGAATGGATCAAACTAGACTGCGTAGCTTGGGAATTATGTAATAGGAGATAGTGCTACCTGTACAGGAGATTAAGAAAAAATATTGAGTGAAACTCTAGGATACAGAGTAGGAGAGTTTTCATTATGAATAAATAACATTTTGTGCCCTGACCTTTATTAGGCTAGGTTTAGATCATACTCTGTTTTTGTGTGTTTCACATCGTTGGGATTTCTAAATGACAGTTGTTTATATGTTCTCTCATGTCATTGACTTGGGTTTAGCTACTGCCAACAAAATCAGTCTTGTGCTTGACTCTGGTTAGAAAACATATTTATCTTTCAAAATTGCAATTAGAAAACAGTTTGGATGAAAACCCAAATGACAAATTCTAGAAAACAAAATATGCATTATGAGGAGAGATCATTTGTCTCTCTCCTCACTCAAAAAGAAAGACCATTTGGTGGAGAGGGAGGGGAGCCAGTCTCGAGCAGAAAACTCCGGCTACAATGTGACCTTGAAGTGGTACTAGAGGAAGAAGCCAAGCCACGGATGTCTCCACTTTGAAACCCTGAGTCACCTCTCAGCGACCGTCCTTTGTTCTCCTCAACTGCCATTGCAAGCCCGAGATGCAACGGATCACAGCTTTCGTACAACAGCCTCAGGACTTGCTTGATCGATGGTCTAGCCACACCTTCTTTCTCTGTGCACCATCTTACAACTGCCACTACTGTTTCAAGCTGTTCTCCATCTATGCAGTCTTTGATTCTCGGATCCACCAGATCTATCCGTCTTGATTCCGATAACAGTAAAGGTGTACACATTTCTACGAGGTTCCTACCTTCAACGACTGCTCCTTTCCCAGTTATGATCTCTAGCAACACCACTCCGTAGCTATACACGTCACTCTTCTCTGTCAGTTCTTGTGTTACAACGTACTCTGGATCTACATAGCCTGAAATTGAGATTTCATGGTATTATATTTTGCTCACTATTTTTCAAGAGTATTAGTTTCCTTTGTATCCTGACCTGGAGTTCCACGAATATCAGTATTAACAGGTTCAAAACAAATGGAGCCATCTCTAGAAGCATGAGCAAGGCCAAAATCTGCAAGCTGCATCGCATAAACCACAAATCACTTAATTCTCATGAAGTGAACAAATCGAAAAGTCAATGTATTGGTTCATGCGAAAGGATACAGACTCACCTTAGCAACAAAGTTTTCGTCAAGTAATATGTTGCTTGACTTGATGTCTCTGTGACAGAGAGGAGGGTCACAGTAGAAATGAAGGTATTCCTGGAGGAAAGGGAAAATATTCAGCCAATAACTAAGAACAGTAATACAACCCATAGAGTGTTAGTTTTATGGAAAAACGTAAATGAAGGCTTTGGAAATTTACCAGAGCATTGGCCACATCTATTGCGATCTTCATCCTAGTTTCCCAACTAAGTGGAGGTTTTTCTGTGGCTGCACAGAGTTAAAGAACAGAGTTCAAAATTCTCAAGTCAAGTCTAAAACATAGCAAGAAACTCTGGAAATCATGAGCATACAGTGTATATGATCCTTGAGGCTCCCATTTGCCATATACTCGTAGACAAGGAACCTGGAATTATCAGGTTAGATGAGCAGAGGGCAAATCCAATTTATTTTCCACACAAGAGGGGGGAAACGAAATGAAGCTAAACTGTAAGCATTCACCTCTCATTCTTCTTATTACAAAACCCTTTCAAAGCAACTAGATGGCGGTGATGCAGCCTGGCAAGAAGCTCTATCTCTCTGCAAAATTCATCTTCTGCTTGTTCAGAGCTCTTGTTCAACCTTTTCACAGCTGCGACCAACCCATTACTGAACTCAGCTTTGTGAACAGTGCCAAAGCCCCCACTGCCAATCACCATTTTGAAATCTTCAGTTGCTTTCCTTATCTCCCTGTAACTGAACTTCCGAAAAGCAGACGAATTACCTGCAAAAACTAACCACACATTTATTTTACATGGTCTAACATATCATGTCAGTGTACCATCAGAAGCAGTTTGCACCTTCATGAATGATCGACCTTGGGCGGGGAGAAGGAAGCGTCTTTAGATCACATTCCAAGCCCTTGGAGTCATCAAGTTCCTGTTTTTTTCTTTGGATAAGAACTATTAGGACTGCGAGCATAACAAGAGCAAAAGCAGTAACAGCGATCCCAATAGCTGGAACCACTGTCAAGTGATATCGATGGTGACTTTTAATTGCAGACAAAACAAGATTATCACTGCTTGGACTATCAGCTAGCTCAGGACTTGGAGAAGTTTCTGGGCTCAGTGACGCTGGAGACGACTCTGAATAGAAATAAAAACAACAGATAATTCAGTCTGGGTCTGATATTAGTAATATTATCCAGGACACACTAAACTATAGAGGGTTTGTCTAGGATCTTTCCCAATATAGAAAAAATAAGAAGGTTATACAATCCATGAATACCAACTTGACACACAAAACTGCATATACCTGGAGAGGGGCTAAGCTCAGGCACATTAAAGAAGCAGCTAGCAAGTTCAAGGGCCGATGAATTGTCAACCCGGCTAGCTAATACAGCATAAGTTGCATCTCGACAAGTGCTCAGTTTGATGCTATTATCTGCACCAACGAGACTACGAAGGTAGGTGACACCGGAATCCAAGCACTTCCTACAGTGTTTACCCGGTGGAAGTGGGAGTCTGCAGTTTTTAGAAACATCTCGAAACGTGATGGACTGAAGCATCTGCGTTACAGTGGTCAGACCCTCACAGTCGTAGTTGACAAGAATCTTGGTCCCTAAACCACAGAAGATAGTTGCATTTCTTGGAATTCCATAAAGCTCCATGGTTCTAGAGATGGTACTGATGCATATTTCGGTCAAATCAGCTGGAACTCCAAGATCTGTACTGTAGTTTGCATAGCGGGCAACAGATACTGCAACGAAAGCATTCATGTAGCGGCAGCATTGGGCTCTGTCGGCATTGTTTGAGCAAACAGAAGCCACGAGAGTGAAGTTAGATGAAGTCAAGTCCAATGGACAACCTGCTACACACAATTAAAACACATAAATTACACAACTTTGCATCTTTTTTTGCAAGAAAATCTCATCAATGGTTTGGAATTTAAGCAACAAAGCTCATTTACTAATCAGAAGAAAAGAGACCAGAACACTTTTAAAGACCAATGCACACTGAAATTCCCAAAACCCCAAAGACTTAAAACTATAGAAAAATTCAAGATTTACATCAGAGTTGAAGTCTCGAACCAGTTAGATGCTGATATTACGAATCAAACCACAAGAAAGAAGATTTCTCAAGAAAGATTTAGTACAGAACGAATGTGGAGAGAGACAAAACCCAAACCTGCTTGGGTGGAAAAAGGCAAGTATTGAAATCCAAGAAATGCGAAGAATGCGAGCAGCAGAGCTTGCCTATAAACCACCACCATGGCCAAAGACAGAGGAGGAGAGACGTTGAGAAAAGGTCAATGAGAAGTCGCCTGAGAGAGAATGACAGTAGTAGTCACTAGTCAGAGTGACAATGCGAGAGAGAAAGACCCCAGATTTCCCTTTTTCTCATGAAAAAAAAACTCCTTTTATTTGTCACTCCCTTACGTTTTTACCCGCAAGTTCGTTAAACGTGTTTTAACCACCCGATACCAATACATATCAAAATTAGTAACTTTTTTCTCAAATAAATATTTTTCTGTATAAACATTATTATTAACACCCCTTTAACATAATAATTGCAATGGTCGTTCTTTTTTGTTCACAGTGGCATATCTTTTTATCTCTTCTCATGATTTGGTTTCACAAACTTCATCTAATCACCGTACATCAATACGAAAAGAAATTCATTAGAAACAAGAACTAGATCAATACAAGGATATAAATACTTAGATTTTGTTATTTTCTTTAGTCATATAGAAATGGACACGGAACTATTTGTTTTAAAATTTTTTGTTTTGATCATTGTATTTCTAATATGAAGCCAATGTTTTCATCGTAAAACATCCCTAAAATGTCAAACTAGACGATGATCATACCGTGTGAAATCAAATACTATAAATTTATTCAAATGGGTTACACTTTCATCTCATGTGAGGTTTAGTTCTATGATTGATTTGGACCAGCACAAACGTAACTATCATCTATAAGATTAACGCACTTTGAAGATGTATGTAGCTGGCATGCTATTAGTAATTTTGTTACTTTATCTGTACGTAATGATGACGGTCTCATTCAAGTTCTTCATTTTTTTTTCTGATAAAATATGTATTCTTAAAAAGGAAAAGATAAAATAACTATATCTTGTAAGAAATGGCACATAGAGAGTATAACAAGAACTACAAACCATATAGAAAGTGACAAACAAAGAACCCTCTTCTGTAAGCTATTAATATAATCATTGTCTCCGAAATGCTCGCAGTTCCCCTTGTATTTTCTTGTACTTTCGATGACAAATTTAGACTTAAGTTTTTTTTTTTTTTCTGTTGGTTGGTCAAAAGCAAATGCAAATCACCCATTCCATTTCTTTTGGAGTTTTACCAAATAGTTGCTTCTTCCCAAAGCCAAAATCTTTGGGGTTTGTTCATTTAAAAAACTTTTCTTTTTTTATGGGATTTTGTTGCAAGAAAGAAGACAATGTTTCAGAGGTTCAACTTCTTTCTAATAGCTCTTCTCATTCCATGCTTTCTTATCCTTAGCCCTTCCTATGCCCTCAAGGTAACTTAGTTCTGAACAAATCCTTCTCAAAATCATCAAGAATTGGTCATAAATGCATGGGTCTATCTAACCTAAAAACCCCAATGAAAATTAATCGTGGGGGAATTTTACAAAATAAAAGAGTGTTGCTGATATCCTTTGTATTGATTGGTAGGAAGGAGAAACATGCATCGTGAACAAGAATTGTGATCGGGGATTGCACTGTGAATCGTGTCTCGCTAGCGATAGTTTCCGACCTAGATGCTCTCGTATGCAACCCATTGATCCCACCTCCAAGGTTCCTTTTCTTTATTTCTCGACGTTTAATCATATTTATATTCTTAATACTTTTGCTAAATATATATATTGATGTTTTTATGTGTCAAAAGGTAAAAGGGTTGCCGTACAACAAGTACTCGTGGTTAACAACCCACAATTCATTTGCTCGAATAGGAGCAAAATCAGGCACCGGCTCTATGATTCTTGCTCCTTCCAACCAACAAGATTCAATCACAAGCCAGCTCATTGTAAATATACTTTTCCATCACTGTAAACCCATTTCAAAAGTTTTATTCTTTAGTTTGATTCTTATTATCTTTACATTTGTTGGGTTATTACAGAATGGTGTTAGAGGGTTTATGCTTGACATGTATGACTTCCAAAATGATATATGGCTTTGCCATTCTTACGGTGGAAATTGCTTCAATTACACCGCATTCGTAAGTTCCGTCCATATAGGTTCTTATAAATCTCGATCGTTCCAATATACAAAATGTTTCTAACTATTATTTAATTTGTGTATATATGTAGCAACCGGCGGTTAACATTTTAAAGGAGTTTCAAGTGTATCTAGACAAGAATAAAGATGTTGTTTTGACACTAATCGTCGAGGACTATGTGAAATCTCCTCATGGTTTAACCAAAGTGTTTGATGCATCCGGATTACGAAATTTCATGTTTCCGGTAACAAGAATGCCTAAAAACGGAGAAGATTGGCCTACTCTTGATGATATGATCAAACAGAACCAAAGATTGGTTGTTTTCACGTCCAACCCTGGCAAAGAAGCGTCTGAGGGAATTGCATTTACATGGAGATACATTATAGAGAATCAATGTGAGTTTCATGATCCCCAAATAGAGCTATACATAACAATATGATTATTATATATATGAAATTGATACAATGTTATGGTTATGTAGATGGAGATGATGGGATGAAGGCTGGAGGGTGTACTAATAGACCGGAATCAGTTGCAATGGGAGATAGATCAAGATCACTTATTCTAGTCAATTATTTTCCAGATACAGCAGATGTGATCGGATCTTGTAAGCAGAACTCTGCTCCTCTTCTTGACACCGTAAAAAGTTGTCAAGAAGCCGCGGGACAACGCTGGCCTAACTTCATTGCAGTCGATTTCTACAAGGTAATTAGTAAAAAAGGATGCATGTGGTTCGGTTTGATGATATTTGGATCCGATTAATGTAACGTTTGAGTAATGTTAATGCATGTGTGTGGTTTAGAGAAGCGATGGTGGAGGAGCTCCAAAAGCAGTGGATGTAGCAAACGGTCACTCACTCTGCGGTTGTGAAGATATATCCGCTTGTAAAGTAAGTAGTACATTATATGGATTATGTCGTCACTATGTGAATTATGCTATTATATGCTACAAAAGATGTTACTAATTAAACGTGTCTGCGCAGGAGAACAAGCCGTTTGGGACGTGTGAGAAGCAAGAAGAGAAGAAACCAGAATCTAACCTAATGATGATTGCTAAGCTAACGGCTGAAGCAACCAAAGGCTATGGTCATCCATCTACCAAACCGACCCAACTTGGGCTTTCTGTGTTTGTTATAACATTTTTCTCACTTCTCTTAACTTTTTGACTCTGATGGTTAACTTTATACAAATACAAAATTCTAATCTAATAATTATCTAAACATGGTCTGGTTCGGTTCGCAAAGAATCAACCCGGTTTAACCCAGTACAATCAAGACAAATGCTATTTTACTTGTAATCACCTAAATACAGACAACAACATAATTATTACATTTATTCAATAAGTCACACTTACAGATATGTATATCAAACGATGAGTTTTATTATTAAAGAACAAGTTGGTTTTGACTAGAGATTCCGAATCCGGTCCGGGTTAAGAGCACCGTAAGATAGCGGCGGGGAAGCCTGACCGTCTAACCCTTCTTGATCTGGTTTAATTCGGTGAGGATCTTTGCCACAAGGTATATAAAAGAAAGTCTTGAAGTTAGGACACTTCTGTTTCCGCAAGAAAAACTTGGTGCATTCCCACGGTGTTCTTTGATTCGCAAGATCTAGAATACAATTCATACCCACGTCTAGAATCTTTTTCTTGATGAGTGTTCGACATTTTGGTCCGACCTGCGTAAAGTAATTGGACGAGAGAGAAAGGTTCTTGAGGCTTGAGAGCTCGCAGAGGATCTCCGGTATGGTACCGTAGAACTTGTTCCTAGCCAAATTGAGCTGCTCCATCTTGTTTAGGCATCCGAAAGAGTAAGGAATCGGACCAGTTAGCTCGTTAGACTCGACATCAAAAACCGTAGCTCGGTTAAGGTTCCCAATTTGGTATGGTAAGCAACCGGTTAACTTGTTATTCAAGAAAAGGACTTCTTGTAAGGACTTGATGTCACCAATGCTTCCCGGAATAGGACCCGTGAATCTGCATCACATCACATGAAATTCCCATAAAATAAAAGTCACCTTTAGAACCTTAAAGATAGATACAAGACACAATTCATAAGATATCTCGTGAAGTTATACCGAACCTACTTTGTTCTGTTCTTGGAAAAAAACAGAGTAAATAACCTGATGTAATGGACAATTTCAGATTCAATAACGGTTAAAAAAGAATCAAATATGGAGCATTTGAGACCTGTTGTTAGCGAATGTGAGGTAAAGAGCGGTGATGGATCCGAGATTCTCAGGGAGACTCTGAACAAGATTGTTGTCGTTGATGAACAAAACGTCGAGATCGAGATTAAACACCTGAGGAGGCACAGAACCGGAGAAAGAATTGAATCTGAGATCAAGAAACGTAAGGTTCGTTGCTTTTAACACAGAGCTCGGGAACTCTCCAGAGAGCTTATTGTTGCTGAGATCAAGCTCGAAAAGGTACTTGAGGTTGCTGACTTTGGGAACAGATCCCACGAAATTGTTACTGTTTGCGTGGAAGATGGTGACTTCATCTAACTTATTGAGGAAGTTATCTAGCCGGAGTTTCTTGCCACCCAAGTTAAAATTGTTGAACTGAATACTCGCAAGTGCGAGGTGGTTTGTTCCCGGGAACTTGGCGCACTCAAGTCCTATGTATTTGTCCTTGGCGCAAATGTCGGTGCCTACCCATGTTTTGAGTATCTTCTTTGGATCGTCTTCGATTAGCATCTGGAAATTCTTGATGACTGGATACACTTTCTTTATTAGTGGGCTCGAGAATTTTAGCGGCGGTGGCGGTGGAGGAGGAAGTGCCTCTGGTGGCGGCGGTGATGGTGTTTGAGAAGGTGGAGACGGCGGGGGACAGTCTTCTGGCTCTGGAGATGGCGCCGGAGAGTTGTCGTTGGAGCCGCCAATGATGATTTCAAGAGCTTTTCTGTCGGTGATGTGGTTGTTTCCGGTGGCTAGCATTGAAGTAATGTAAAGAGACAGAATCAAGAAAAAGGAAAGCATATTATAATTTGGAGCCATTGGTGTCTGGTGATAAGAGAGGTGCAAACCTTGAGGATTGGCTTAGGGACAGTTAAATAGAGAAAGAGTGTGAAAATAATGTGAAGTCAACGCACATGTCTTCTTGTGGGCTGGTTTAGGTTACAATACAATTTAATTAATAATAGTTAGATATAACCTTGAATGATTTGCTAGAATGAGAAAATATTAATAGAAAATCCCTATTATATAATGCCAAAGGGTGGTTGGATACATGTGTAGCTAGCTTCGTTGGTGTATATATCATTTTTCTTCCGTCAACGGTTACCGCTAAAATTATTTGTAACATAAATTCTTTAGTATATGATTGGCACATAGTATATACATAACTCCAAATGCGTCTTCCTATAATTATAAGAGCAACAGGAGGAATTGGATGTTAGGTGAATCAATTCCTCTGATAGTCCAACAATTGTATGTTGTCATGATTTCTAGTTTAGTTGATTGTGTGTTAAATTGTCGTTGTACATGTCTCTCCCTCAGAATTTAGAGATGCATACAATATGTTCTTAGCATGAAATAATACCCAATATAGATGAAAATGTATAAGAAGAAACAAACGTAAAAACGTATTGTTATGTTTTTTTTAACGTTATGTCCATCCAATACACGTATATTTAATTTTGTTAAACAATCTAATTGTCATCGTTAACTTTAGTTTTCCTTAGTTAAGGCACGATAAAATAAAGGGCTAAAATAAATGACTATAAGTTATTAGAGAAGAAAATATAAATACACTGGATTGAGTACTAAAGTTAATAATGTATACAACTCGAAGTTATGGAGTCGCGACCGGTGATGACCATTACATTTATATCTTTCACTTTAGAGGATCCATTGTTTCAGGAATTTTCTGAGATATTCATGAAGGAGCTTCATTGAAGGTATACACATCGCTTTGGCTTTGTACAGTAAGGCCATAAAACATATGAACAGAATGCTTCTTAACGATACCAAAGTATATACGTTGGACCTATCCTTCGTAGAGATATATACCAAAGTATAAGTAAAGGATCAAGCTTTAATTTGTTTCATTTTTTGGAGTTAGAGGAAGCTCTTAACTGTAAGTCTCTTTTATTAAACTGCAAGTCTTTAACTGTAAGTCTCAAAGACAATGCAGCACATTACTTATATTAACAGAGATATATACTAAGTAATTAATGAGTAAGTCTTTTTATTTATTTGATGTGTTCCGATGGAGAAGATTAATGCACATTTTACAATCGGATAAATTTTCTGAGTTTTGTAACCCAAAAAACTTTTCTTTTGAAGTTTTTACTGTCACAGTAAATCTAAATCATACAAAAAATAATTAGAGATGTATTATTTTCCATATATCTTTTTCACAAAGATAAATAAAGTTAATTGTGCTTTTTTTTTATCTAAGATTTTTATATTCACAATTTTACAAAAACATAAATAATACTGTATGTAAATTGGCTTTCAAAACAATTTTAGTAACATTTTTTTAATCATAAAATATTTAAAATCCATAAACAAAAGTAAAAGATATGTCTTCTTCTTCTTTTGCTCTGTTCAACGCTCAACAAACGGTATGACTAAAAAAGTCAAAACAAACTAAGAAGAAGACAATTATTTATAAAGACATTGAGAATTGAGTTTGAGTACCAAACGTAACTCTCCATTGATGAATCAAGTAGTTCATCTTCTGGATGCCGTACTGTCTCTCCTTCAACCAAGCCTCTCCAGAGGCCTCTCTCGGCGACGACCCTCTTCCCCATCCGTCCTTAGGTATGCGTTTTTTCTCACTCCGAAACTGCCCACCACGTGTTTGTTGAAATGCAATAACTGAGTTCATTTTTGCCTCTGTTCAACAGAGAGTGGTGCGGCGGCCTCCACTTCCAGAAACGACGCTTCTATTCCCTCTCCCACGTTTAACCTCAGCCATGAGTTGGCTCACGCTTTTCAAACCCCTTCCTACCACGACATACGTTCACGAGTTCACGTGATTGATCCCACGCAACATCATCATAAACATCACCAGACCCAACCGGACATTGAGCTGCTTCTCTCTCAAGTACTCCAACCGAACAAAGAATGTGTTCAAGAAGCTCTTAGACACGCCAAGCAAACTACACTTACCAATCTTGTCTCCACTTACTTCCAACACAGCGAAAACGCTACCCGTCTTTGCTTGAATCTTTACCAAAACGTCCACAGTGCTCGCCACTACCTTTACACGCCCCTTTTAGAGCTCTTCAACGTCTTTCCCGGTGATTCCCACGTCGCCATTGACGAATCCCTCTGTAATTTGGCGTTTGACGTTTTTCTTAAGCTCGACACGTTTGAAAACCCTTTCTCATCTCCTGAATCTTACAGCTTTCAAGAGACCCAATTATGCTTCTCCCAGCTGAAGCATAAGCTGGACAGCCGTCTCCACAAGTCTAGGTCACGGGTCCGCCTCCTCCACCATGCCACAGCTGGTTCTGCCTTATGTCTTGTTGCTGCTATTGTTGCGGTTGCTGCTTCTGCGGCTGTTATCGCCTCTCATGTAATTCTAACCCTTGTTGTTGTTGCAGGTCCCTTGTGCAGTACCTATCTCTCTCACAGTTTCAAGAAGAAGGAGTTGACTAACATTTCTCAGCTCAATGCTGCAGCCAAGGGTACTTTTGTGCTCAACAAAGATCTTGACACCATTGACCGTCTTGTATCCCGTTTACACACAGGGATTGAATACGATAAGCTTTTCATTCGGCTTGGATTGGAGAGGGGGAGGGATGTGCATTCAATTCAGGAGATTGCCAAACAGCTTCGCAAGAGCCACCTTAACCTAACCCATCAACTCAAGGATCTTGAGGATCATATTTGCCTTTGGTTCACTAACGTTAACAAAGCTAGATTCTTGCTCCTTAAAGAGATCCATCTTTCCCGAACGTAAGCTCCTCTACCTTTTTGTATCAGATTTTTCACAGTGCTACTTGCTAGTTGCTCATTACCTAATTTTTACTCTGTGCAGCCAGAATAATCTGTAGAGAGAAGAAATTACTGCCATCTAGAATCTAAAATCAATCAAGATTACAAAGGTCAGTGGTTTTTGCATAAATTCATATATCTGGATAATTGGATCACATCGGTATTTCTTGTTATCATGTTCCTGTTAATGCTTATTGTGTGTTTGAGGGGCAATATTTGTTTTGTGTGATTTGGGATAATATTTGACTTCATTTCTCTGTACATTTACCTTTGGCTCTTACAGTATCATGACTCATGAGCTTATGAGAGAGGACAACAAGACCGAGTTGATAAACATATACGTTATTTGAGCTATCTGTAGCTGGGAATGGAGACTTAAGCACTACCAGTAGTAGTTCGATATTGTATGTTGTATTGGTTCATATCATCATATCGAACAATTCTTTTTGGTAAATAATCTTGTTCCACTTGGATTTAATAACAATCAAACAGTACCTGTTGCACTTGGAATCAGTAACAACCAGACAGTATCTTAAAAAACTGTATTGAAATGAAAAGAAGAGAACACATGTCGAAAATAAGAGAAGGTGATTTCAAGATGGGGTGACGCCCTGTTTGGCCTTCAGGACAAGCTCCTCTGTGGTAGTCCCTATAATCTCGTTGCTTCGCTTCAGCCCCATGCAGTAATACCTTCCAATGGTGTCCCGGGCAACGATGCCCAATTTCTCTAGCTTCTGGACTGCATCTTCAACATCAAAGTTACACGTCGCACCAAACTCTTCCTTTATCAGATCCTCGCACCTCAGATCCAGATCCTGTTTACCAACCATTCAAACCAACTCAAGTCAGCACTCATTGATGATAACAGACAATAAAAAGAGTAAACTTAGGTTTATGTACCTCCAAGGTGGCTTTACCCTGCTCCATTAGTATGTAGAAGCAAATCATCACCTCTTTTACCTGCGCATTGCAATTCAAATGAGCTTATTCTTTCTATTTTGTATGTACACCAGCTTCATACAGGAACTTACTTCTTGTTGAATCACGTCATCACACAAGTGTAGTAACGTTCCCCTCCCGCTGTCTAGTTGTTTATCATACATTGACTGCGTTATCAAGTTCTGGTACGTCGCCATGTTCTGCTGGAACCTGAAGGAAAACAACAAACAATAAGTAAACTATTCGCTTAAGAAAGAAAGAAAACAAAGAAAGGGTAAAAAAAGAAAGCACTTAACGTGAAGTATGTTTTCGCACAATAACCAAGCACTGTGGAGATAATGGCAATAATTACCCATGGATCTGATTTAGGCATTTCAACCGAAGTAATCACAGCTACCTGCAGACAAAATCAAATGATAACCAGGAAAGACATGTAAAACATGAACTGCAACAAAGAAAAGGGAGTCTGCCAAGAAGACCAACCAGACCAACTACTGCAGATATCAGAAATTTGACCCAATCCATTGGAGTCAGTCCAGGGTTTCTTTTCTCTGGCTGCACAAGACATTAATGTTATTGCAGCTAGTTTGCATTTTTTTCTTACAACAAAATCCAGTCTGCAACAGGAAAAAGGACAAGATTAGAAGCTTACAAGAACGATCTCCATGTCAGCCATAGGAATGTTTTTGAAATGCTTGACGTAAATTCCTCGTTCTAGATTTGATTTAGAGCTAGCGCGTCTGCAATATCATAGACCACATGCTTGAACTACAAGTTCCCAGAGTTCCAAATAGCTGAATACATTAACCTTACCGGTAAATAACAATGATTCTATCGAATGTAGGCTCTTGAATTGTGAGCTTGCTCAAGAAACTTTTAAAGCTGAATTCATAAAGAGAAAGGCCATAATCATCACATGTATATACAGAATAGTCAAAGTTGGGTTGAAAGCAAATCACAACATGCTAGGGATACTGAAGATAACCTCAATTGTGAATTCTCAAGGCGAATACGCTCCACATATAAGTCTTCGTTATCTGTATCAGGGTTTGTCTCATCATCTTTTTTGGGATCTTTCTTGTTAAGACTGCTTGACCTATTGGCGCGTAATTTCTCTAACCTGTGAACTTAAGGTGTTAAGACCCAGATGTAATCAAATGCCTAACTGTTTTAACAATTATTATACCTTGAGAAAGAGAAGACTGTGAAAGGTGTGCTAACCTGGTGATTCTCATGAGAAAGGACCAAAAACGTGAAATGATCACATCCAATTTCTCCATGAAAAAGTAATCTGTGGTTTTATCCAGTCCAATACCACGTCTGAAGATGACATACTATAGAAATGGATAAATACAATCGGTATTGTCAACACATCTCTATCCATGACCATCAAGAAACTCTTTAGGAAACGATATTGCTGAAATGCTTGTCTACAAACTAAAACTGTACCTTATCCGAAAAGTCTGGAATATTTTCATGTGGATGATCCTCAAAGTACTTCTTGAGCAGCTTCTTGTCAAGCTTCATCCAGCAAAAGAAAGAAAACTGTTCTAGAAAAATGCCGGAAACGCGCACAAGCATTAGTGATAAAGATGGTGTTTGTATAAACCTTAGACTCATCAACTTTGATGGGAAGATTGAGAAGATACTGCCCAGAGTGTGCAACTTCCATCTCTTCATTACTGGTTATTTTAAAGTTGCTCTTGTCCATAACCTTATAAAAGGCAAAAAAGAAGGGGCACAGTTCAAGAACACTGACATACATTAAAAAAATAAGGAGGAGATAATAAAATTAAACCAAGAGACAGACCTGAAACAAGTAAGCTAGGAAATTTTGTTCAAGGACATCAAGTTCCTGAGAGGTTAAGTTCTGCTGTTGGATTTTCTGAGCACCGTGTACCGGATCAAAGAGAGAGTACAGTTGCTGGAGACATGCAAAAAGAAAGCATATGATAAATAAAACAAACAAAGCTTAACAAGATCATAACAGAGGATGAAGGAATAGGGTTAAAGACCATGAGATCTTCAAACTGAAGAAGATACCAAGCTCGAACAGTGTACTCAATTCTCTTACAGAGCTTGAGGAACTCCTGTCTGTCATTGCTATGTTCTGCAAAAAACAAACACAAACAAGCCAATTTTAAAATTCGAACAACCAAACAAACAAACAAAACAAAGGGCGAACAAATTTATGCAAAATTCAAAATTTGTGCCCTAGAAACATAAAATCTGAGTACAGGGAAGAAGAAATTGAGGAAACTGACCAATGAGATTAGCCAAGGTCATGATGAGTTTAGGTTTGAGGATAGGTATGACAGATTCGGGTTCAAGACGAATCATTTCCTTGTTGCTCCGTTGTTCCGCCATTACAAAAGGTTCGATTTTGGGAAAGCAGAACCCAAGTCAGAAGAAGAAGGAGAAAGAAAGAAGAAGCGTAACGGACCCTGAGGAGGAACAAAACGGAAGCTTTCCAGCGAATTAATGTCGTTGAACTCGACCAACGGATCTGCTGCCCAACGCTTTTTTTTTTTTTTTTTTTCCCAAAGTATAATAAAATATAATGTTTATTCCTTATGTCTAAGTCTAATCTTCTTGTCGATCGTCCAATCATTGTAGTTTTCCAAAATTGTAATCAAAAAAACATTTGGGTCGATTAATATAACTTGATTATACAAATCGATGATACTAATATTAAAGTTAACAGTCCCAAAATCTCCCTATCACTGTGTCCTACTCCTTGCCGACATTTTTCATCAAAAGAATAATAATTTTGAGACCAATATAAAGGTTTGTGGAATCAGTGATGAAATGGTTTTTACAAGAAGAAGACTAAAGAAGGTAGGTCCTGACCTATCCCCAATCTCAACCATATCTCAAACCCTAAACTAAAACCAAAACATTACTTGTTCTGTCTCTTATATGTCTATGGGTTATATCATATAAATTAGGCCCATGTAGTTGTTATGGACTTTTCACATTCAGATAAACATGGATTATCACTCATTCAGACAAATAAGACATACTCTCCTTGATTCCTTTGTAATCAACCTAGTGTGAGTGTTGTAACAAAACATTTGGACATTGGATTTATAAGGTACAACATTTACATAATGTTGTATACTGTAAATTGTGAAAATGTTCACCATATTTTGTAATAGAAATCAACCTAATATACTCATGCATCATTAGTTATAACCTAGTAATATTTTAAGAGAATAGTACATAGCTTTATACAAATGATTAGAAGAAATACATTTAGTGAAATTGCATTATTCAAAAAATCTAAACCAAAATTTTATAATTTTTACATCGAATATATCGTAGATAGATTATGCGTTCTTATATCATTTTTGTATTATCCACAATATATCGCGTGATTCACACGCAAAGTCTAAAGCGTATGTTGAATCTTTAGTTATAATTTTTTTTATCATCTTTATTTACTTAAATTAGTTTTTTTCCTATAAAGCAAACGAAATCTCATCCAAAAACCCTACATTTTGGTTTCTTCTCTCAAATATACCACTCTCCTCATTGCTTAAACCATGTATTCTTTTACCACTTTCGTTATTTAAACTAGTTGACCTATTATCGCGAGTGATGAAATAGCGTTTTTAATAATGTTACTGTATCATTGAGATAGTGTTTTTGAAGAGCTACTAATAACGTTTTTCCTACTCTACAAATGTATAGTTATGTTGATGGTGTATTTATTTTTGAGATAGCTTATGAGATTTTTAAGATGTCTTTCTTATGATATTTGTTTAAGAGAATTCCTTAAGTAGAGAACAAGAAAAAAAAAAAAAAAGTAAAACTGAATTTGTTTTCCTTATGTTATGGCTACTTTTGGAATATAGTTTATGTAATTATTTTTATACGATTGAAATTTCTCTTCTTCTATTTTTTTTTTGTGATAGAAAAACTTAAGCCATTGCTTGCACTAAAAATCACAGGGGTTCAAATTCTTTTGTCCAAATTTCATTTGGATAAAATTTGTAGCTTCAAGTAATAATGACAAAGAGGTTCAAGACATCATGAGGACTCCTTTTAATTCGATTTGGTTATGAATATATCTCCATCTCCTATCATTTTTGTTTCATCCATCGTTGCGATAACAATAACAATGGAATAAGTTTGTAACCTATGGATAAAAGACGACGGTGAGATGAAGGATTAGTGATTAGTTATATACTTAGGTTTTTTTTTTTTTTTTTTTTTTTTGTGTGTGCGCACCAAAGTCATATACTTTGTTAAAGCTAAAGAGTCTAGCTAGGGTCGATTCCAATTGCATCGATAATGTGAACCAACCAACAACATACATTCGCATTCGTTTGACACTTTTTTAAGATTTGCTTGTATTGATACTTGACAGTTGTTCGATGAGTTATATATTTTTTTGTGTGTTGTCTTGCTTGGTCAATGGTTGAACTAAATAATTAAAGTAGACATTTAAGATTTATGAATGTGAACTATACTTTCGTATTATGTAAACTTTACATTTCCACCCAAAAAAATGTAAACTTTACATTGACTTGGAACACTTGATAAATCGAATTCCTTAGTAGCTTCTGTATGTTCAAAAGGTTTTTGTCCAAAGTCATATCATATACATATTTAATCATGGAATTCAATCAATTATACTTTGTACAAGAAAAGGGAAGAGAAGTTTCTTTTTTTGAGAAAAAAGGAAAAGAGGTTGACAAATAACTAATTTTCTTGAAAATATTGTTTTTTCATTATTTATTTTTGTTATATATTTCAGTTTGATAAACACATTAAATAGTGATTTGACTATTTTCTTAGTAAAAGGAAATATAATGTAACAGTAAATTACAAATTCAAAGACTAAACCAATCATAGCAACAAGTTATTATGATTTAAACTTTGACTCAAGAAAAAAGAAAATAATTTAAACTATATGTGGCAACCTAAGTTTTTATATAATAAGATAAGATATACACTGTACTTAGATGATTTAAACATACTATCATATATGCATTATATATTTAATTTTAATTAATTTTGAAGGATATATTTTTACAAAATTATGAAAGGCATAAGATTATGTAATTAATTATTAAGTAAAATAATGAATTGATTTGTGCTGTGTATATTATTTAATTCACACACACTATTCAGTTTCTTAATGCAAAAGAGAACAAAGATAAAAAGGTATTTATAACAGATGTTCAAAAACCCTAAATCGCGTTCTCAAATCTGCCGCCGCCATCATTGATCCAGGTATTGCTCTATCCTTGATGACTCTTCACGTGATTCTTTCTACTCTCCTCTTCGCTGATCCATTCGATTTATGTACTCAAATCGTGTTTTTGTACATCATAGTTTCAAGCATTTTTGATTCTCTAGCGAAGTTTTTGTGTTCATCGTTCAGTTTCCTTGCGATTGAATCTGTTTGCAGTTTCGTAACCTAAAGTTGAACAATTTTGATTAGTTTAGGTATGTAGATAAGGTTTGTAATCACAAAATTCGATTTTTTTTTTTTTCAGTTATGGATTCAAGTTACTCTGATTCTCGTCCCATGTTCGTGCAATCGCCTTATGGTGGTTGGAACCAAACCCAGATGACTGATTTGGTGGCTAATCCAGTGAACAATGAACAAGGCGACTTGCATTCTCTATCTGAATCACAATCACAGTCACAATCTTCTCAGCAGTTACAGCCATCGTTGAAAAGGCCAAGACTTGTTGATGATAACGTTTTCAATCCGGCTTCGTCTTTTCCTCCTCCTACGAGTAGCAATCCTTGGATGGTTCCATCGTTGAACCCTCCTCCTGTGAACAAAGGGACGGCTAATATATTCTATAAGACGAGAATGTGTGCGAAATTCAGGGCTGGGACTTGTAGGAATGGAGAACTCTGCAATTTTGCTCATGGGATTGAGGATTTGAGGCAGCCTCCGTCGAATTGGCAGGAAATTGTTGGACCTCCTGGACAAGATAGGGACAGGGAGAGGGAGAGGGAAAGGGAAAGGGAAAGACCGTCCTTGGCGCCTGTTGGGAACAACAATTGGGAAGATGATCAAAAGATAATCTTGAGGATGAAGCTTTGCAGGAAGTTTTGTTTCGGGGAAGAGTGTCCTTATGGGGACAGGTGCAATTTCATTCATGAGGATCTGTCAAAGTTTCGTGAGGATTCGGGGAAATTGAGAGAGAGCTCGGTTATAAGTGTCGGTACCACTGCTGCTGATCTACAATCTGTTGATAATAGTACTGCTTCTAATCATATTGAAGTAAGTAGGCAAGGAAGCATCCCGGTACCTGTGCCTATGAACAATGGTGGTGCTGTCAAGACTGTGTACTGGAAGACAAGGTTATGCATGAAGTTTGAAATCACGGGTCAATGCCCTTTCGGTGATAAGTGTCACTTTGCTCATGGCCAAGCAGGTATGTGGAACATTTATCTTTTGCTAACTTGACATTATGGTATAGTATCTTTTAATAGTTTTGCAAGTCCTGTCTATTGATAGTAATTCTCTCTGTTTGACCAATACTAGTGTACTGTGACTGTGAGTGATCTTGTGTTTCTGATGTGGTTATATGCATATGTTTTGCTAGTCCTGTTTATTGATAGACTTGTTTTTGAATTCTTTCTTTTTCTAACCTGATATTTTGTGGATTGTGTGTGATCTTGTGTTTCTGATTTGGTTCTTGATAACGAAATTGCAGAGTTGCATAACTCTGTTGGAAGGGTAGAAGGAGAAGCTGTGAACGGAGTAGCATCTCTGAGTAAACAAACAGTGGTACCTGCGAATGAAGCATTTGCAATGAAACCAACTGCCCAACTAACAGCAGATTCTTCTGGTCTAAACGAAGAAGGGCGGCGAAAGAAGTGTTTACTCAAGTGGAGCGACTCCAAGAAGATTAACCGAATCTATGGAGACTGGATCGATGATTTACCAGTGGGTCAAAAGTCGACCAAACCAGTAGAGAGCTGAGCTTTTTCTAGGCTGGTTCCATTTGTGTCTTGTCTTTGATGATCAAAAGTGATAAAAAAAGCTTTGGTCTAAAATTTTGAAGAGTAGTAGAACACTCTTTGTTTGATTTCTTCATTAGCAATTCTTTGATTCGCTATTAGCTTAGAGTTTCCCATATTTTGTTATAATCTTTGATTACATAAAAGAGAAAAGTGGCTTGGTTCACCAATAGCATCACATTCATCTTAATTTGTTGCCTGTGGCTTTCTGATTTTGGTTAATATATATGGATAAGTTTCGTATTTCGTTTGCCCTTTTAATGTTCTCTAACAAATCAGATTATGTTATACACTCTCTCTTTTATAATTCGTTGATAATATTTATATATGTACAAAGATGTTGAGAAAATACGAAAGCTTATGGTTACTTGGTTAGGTTCATCGCATGCAAACAGAAATCATGAAATTATGTCATCAATTTGTTATAATATTTGTTTCTAAACTATGATAATGCAGAATCATCCCAATTAACAAAGAGACCATACCATCTTTTTGGTTTGGTTTGGCTCCCTACAAAACAATAGAATAAATATTTCATACTAACGGCTTAAAGTGATTAATCATATTGGGCTTATATACTATATGATAATTTCATCCATATAGTTTAATAATCCTAGCTTTAGTATTCTTTTTTTTTAGAAATCACAAGAAATATATAAATGGGCCCTGAAATATTATTTCGTAACGTCTCCTTTACTATTCCCCACATCTCCAATTTTTATTACACTTTTTCTTGTTTTATTTGCTCTATTGCTTTGTACTCTTTTTGTCAACATGACATGATGGGTAATTAAAGAGCTGTTGTAGGTAAGCAGTAGTGAAAAAAAACTAAAAACTGTCGGTGGAGACTGGAGAGCACTTAGGGAATCCTATGGCCCTCCCCTATATACAAATTAAGAAAAGTGAAAGATAGTAATAATACTTGTCTTTGTTAATGACTTATTAGTGGATTATCTAACTATATACTTATATTTCGTACAAATAATGGAATGTAGGTGGAACCAAATACTATACCTAATAATATTTTCCATACTTTTTAGGTCAACTCTTCCATATCTGGTTGATCAATATAATCAGACAACAACGTTGGATGTGTTTTTTTTTTTTTTTTCTAATATAAACTAAACATTGGTGAAATAGATTTTCCCTTTTGTAGAAATTTCGTCAAGTCATGATTCACTTGTTTGAAAACTGTGAAAAAAAAAATATAAAGACAATGAAAGCAAAAGAAAAAAAAAAAACCCCAAGAAGAGAAGAGATGGGAAAAAAGTAATTAACAAAGAGAAAGAAGCAACAAGCAAATGTCATTGTCATTAGGTAAGCACTAAATGTCTTGTGGACATCATTTAACGTCTTAATTCATTTGCAAATCGTCTTTTTAATTCTTGTTTTTGTCCCAGTTATTCATAAGAGTATTTTAGCCTAATGCAAAAGCAAAACAAATTGATGGTTAATCAATAGGGAGAAATTATATAACTTCATGATGAATGATGATGGTATGCTTATATAGTAAGAGAAAGAACTATGAAAAGCAAAAAGATTAATACAAGTTTCTTCATAAAAACTTTATAAGTATTATAAATTTAGAAAAATACAGAACACTATGATACTTTAACGTTTTATTAATGAGTTGAAACGTAAAAAATTAATATCAGTGTCGCATAGTCACTTGATGCCTCTCTCTCCCTCTACCTCTACCTTATTTACTTGTAAAAGATTCATTCATCTCTCCTTCTTCTTTATTTTCTCTTCTTCTTCTTTTGTTCTTTTGTTGGTTTTTGGTTAAAATACTTCTTTTGTTGCAGAGATTAGTCAGAAACTTTGTTCAACCTGGGAACTACTTCAGATTATGTAAGATTTCTTACTACACCCCTTCTCTCCTTTATCGTATATTTATATATATATTCTCAAGTCTTGTTCTTTGATTATCCTCAGTCTCAAATAACAAAGTATGATGTTTTAATATTTATACATTTCAATGTGTTACAGAAGATATCTTACAGAATCAATGGAAACAAACCAGTGGCGATCCAAGAAAAAGATAGAATCTGCAGCTGAAACACTCCAAACTTCTTCTAGAAGAAGCAGAGGGCAGGTAAACCTTCTTTTTTTTTTTTTTTTTTGCAGAAATAGTCAAAGCTTGCTTTACATGTTACATGTTTTCTCTAGCAAAACTTAGCTTCTGTTCTGTCTATGTATTGCTTAGTAAGTAATGATATTTTTATGTCTTGGTCTGTAGGCACGTATGGTCCCTCCAGGAAATGGAGTTAAACCCGAGAGAGCTCGAAAAAGTCTAAACGAGAAGCTAGACACTGTAGCCTTGAACTCTCCTAAGAAAGATGCTCTTGTGAATCTTTATGGCGAAAAAGGTGTAGTAGATGAGATTTTCCTGGAAGATGAAGAGATGAGTCTTGAAACTGGTGTGGGGAATGGTGAGTCGTCGCCTTTCTGTGGTGTATCGGATAAGCTTCTGCAGCGAATCGAGCTTCTTGGGAGAGATCATGAGGCAAAGAGACTTGATAACAGCAGTTTCAGGTCAATTGAAACTATGAGAAAGAGACAAGAAGAATCTGCAGCTGATGAACTAATTGAGATGAAGACAAAGATTCAAACTTTAGCTGCGGAGAACTCTCAGCTTAAGAAGTCGCTTGTGGCGAAAGAAGAGCTTGCGGTAAACCTACAGGAGCGTAAATTTCAGGTGGAATCAGAATTCGAAACGTTAATGACTAGATTAGATTCAACGGAGAAAGAAAACGCATTCTTGAGATATGAGTATACTGTTCTTGAGAAGGATCTCGAGGCAAAAACAGAGGAAACAGAGCATACTCGCAAGTCTATGGAGCTAACCCATAAACAACAACTTAGGAATGTGAACAAGATTGTTGAGCTTGAAGCTGAATGCCAAAGGTTAAGACTTCAGTTTCGAAAGAAGTTTCCGGAGAGGTCTATATCGATGAGGAATGAAGGTGAAGAAAAGAAGATGGAGATGAGAAGAAGAAGTGCGAATAAGAGCGATTTGATGATGAGGGATGAAGCTCAGAGCCGGAAGCTTAAGTATGATCTTTTGATGGAGCAGATTGGGAATGTTAGGGCAGAAAACAAGAATCTAATGGACATAATTATGAAGAAAAACATGGAGATTAAAGATCTTAGCCGCGGGCAGAAACCGTTTGAGGCTTCAAGTTTCGATATTAGAAGCGAAAATAGTGTGATTAGCCCTTCTGGTTCGAAGGAGATGATGCTACTGATGGATGATTTTAATGAGATGGAGAAGTTAGCCATTGTGTGTACTGAGAAGAATCCAAGAGTGGATGATGAAAAGGAAGGATCTTTTGACTGGATTCAAGTTGTTTTGAGCGCTATAACGAAGCAAGAAAGGATATCGAAACGCGGTGTTAAAGAACTCTTACAAGACATCAAGATTGCTTTAGGATGTATGGATGAAAATGATAATGCAGAGAGAAAGAAGGGTGAAGAAGATCCTCTCTGCATCACATGGAAATCTACTAGCGAATCGGGTTCAATGACTAAGGATGAGATCAAGAGACATTTGGGTCGAACAAAAGCAGATGAGGTAAAGAAGATTGAATGTGATGAAAAGAAAGAACTGAGACATAAGCTTGATGAATCAGAGGAGAAGATCAGAAACTTAGAAGTAGAGATCAAATCGTTGAAAGAGAGTAAAGAAACGGTAGAGGCAGAGTTGGAAACCGAGAAATCGATGAAGGAAGATCTTGATACAAAGCTAAACATAATCAGAGCTAACCTCAATGAGACACAGAAGAAGTTGTCTTCTCTTGAAGTAGAACTTGATCACAGAAAGAGCTGTTGCAAAGAACTCGAAGGGACTTGCATTGAGCTTCAGCTTCAGATACAAAGGTAACTAACAAGACAATCACATCTAAAGTCTCAACATTTCTTCGTTGCTTTACAAAAAATAATAATAATACGTTTCTTATTGTGGTTTTGCAGTGTTGAAACGAAGAAATCAACTCAGAGAAGAAAAAACGTGAGTAGAGAATCAACATTCACAATTTCACATACTAAAAGTACAAAATTTGTTTGCAGAGATGATGATGATGATGATGGAGTATTTGTTTGCAGGGATGGGATAGATCAACAGCCTCTGTGAAGTTATCAGAGTGTCAAGAAACGATTACAAATTTACGGAAGCAACTAAGAGCGTTCTCTACAACAGAAACAAGCAGCACCATGAAATTTCCTTACAAAAGACCTTCTCTCCAGGAAAATATAGAAAACTCAACCTCCTACAAAGCAGAGGATGATACTACTAACAGAGTTGCTCATCATGATGGTGATGCTGGTAACCATTACAATGCATTGGTCGTGTACGAACCAGTGAAGGCGAAAGGTGAGAAGATGGAGATGGCTCCACGAAAGAAGCAAGGACTAGGGTTCTTGAAGAAGCTGATGTTCAGGAGGAAAAGAGTGTGTACCAAGAAATGTCTAGCCTTGACTATGTGATGAAAAGAAAACTAAACTTGAACGGTTTATCTAATAAGGACTTTTTGTTTATGTGTGTATTGTGAATAGTGAAGTGAACTGCTTGTGGTTATGTTTGTGTCTCGTGAGGTATGATGACCTTATGTTAGACTCTTTTAATATAAAAAAAAAAAAAAATGTGTTCAATCCAGTTTAACGTTCTTATTAACAATCTAATGATCTACACCTCATATCACATTTGAATCTGAACTATCAACACTAAACTACTTTAGTTAGGAAGGTGATACACAGCCACGGGCTAAGTCTAGGCCAGTTTGTTTTATTGTTTCATTGAGTCGTTTAGTTTTGTAAAGCAACGTATGTGTTTTGTCCAAACTACATTGAATCATTTTGTGAGCTTGACTATGATTTCCAACCATTAAAGTAGTTTTCTTTGGGTCCATAAAATAGAGAGAGTAATCGAAATGTTAACAAATGCTATAATAACACACCTTTAAGCAACAAAGGATGCTACAAACGAATTAAACACTAGTTATAGTATAAAAGAAGATATAAATTAACAAAAACAAAAAAGAAAGGGGAAAAAAGCTCTACACAAAGTACAAAATACCATAATGACGTTCATTAGAAACTTATGAACACTCGATTGGTCGATACCAATATTGTCAAATATAAATAAACTTATATGGCTTATATATGCACAAAAGAAAAGTGGACTTAACACCTTTAGACTAAAAAAGGATGACTTTAAAAAGCCTTAAAGCATATCTTCCATTTGCTTCTTTTACAACTTTTCCCAACTCAAAAGGCCAATCAAATAATTTATATAGATACTTATTTAGTTACACCCTGAAATAAAATTAAAAAACCAAAACCAAAAATATAAAAACCTAATTATATGGTCATCAAAAAGCTTCTGTATATTTATATTTCCTTCAATAATTTCACAATAATAAATGACCATTTTTTGCTTCTAATTTTGTTTCTTTAGAAAAAAAAAAAAGGGTAACATATTAAAAAAAAAAATTAATTACTATGAAACAAGTAGTAACCAAAAATAGAAAAAAAAAAAAATCAAAAAGGGACAACTTGGCTGCAAGCAAAGTCATCGGAGTTAGCGAAGGAGGAGTTGTTGTGGTGGTTGTAGTCAGGCCATGAATTTCTCAGAAGCTTCAGTAACTTCTGTGCTTTCTTCTTCGCTCTCTCCGTACACTCACTCTGCACCATCAACAACAGCTGCACCACCACCCCCGCCCCCGCCGCTTCCTCCCTCCACCTCTCCTCCGCCGTGCAAAGCGTCAACAGCGCCCCCGCCGCGTACTCCGTCGCTCTATCCGACACTCTCAGTATCGTTTTCACCAGCAGCGGCACCGTCAAAGCGTGCTCTCCGAACGCCGCGCATCCTTCCGGCGTTCGGCAGAGCAGCTCCACCGTCGCTAAGGCTCGCTCCGTGTCGCACCTGTCGAAATCCGCCGCGAGTCTGTCGATCAGAATCTCCGGCGCACCGGCGGTTATCGCTAGGTGGCGCGTTTGTTTCGCTAAACAGAGCGCGAACAGAGCTTTGATTCCGATCTTGAGAGCTCGTCGCGACGAGATCGGGTTCCTCAGGAGATCGAGAACTCCTTCGAACACGGATTCTGAATTCGAAAACATTCCTACCAGATCCGCCGATTTGGTTCCCGTCGAGACAATCTCGATCAACGCGGCGGCGTTAACGCGTGTTTCGATGGAGGAGTCGAATAACAACCGGGTCAAGAACTCGACCCGACCCGGATCCGAAGATATAGAAACGAGCTGGTTCGGTTCCGTTATCGGCAACATAACGAGGAGAGCTAACGACTCAGAGACTAACTCCGACGACGTCGTTTCGGAGAAGAGGATCATAATCAAAATCCCGGTAGCGTTATGAGCAGCGATCAAAACGCGGTTCTTCTCAGAATCGCGAGCGAAACCACGTAAACGGCGTAGAGCGGCGGCGCGTGAGCGAACAGAGACGTGTGCACCAGAAGTAGCGGAGGCTTGGCTGAGGAGAGCACGAACAGAGGAAGGATCAGCAGGTTGTTTAGGAGTAGGGATACGTTCGACGCCGTTGGAGCGGTTAGCGACGCACCATTCTTGGATGAGACGGCGGAGAGTGTGGTTGGGGATGAGAGTGAAGTCGGATAAAGGAGCGCGTGTGACAGGACATGTAGTGTTGTTGCCGATGGAGACCCATGACTCGATGCTGGCTCGGTCGTAGGTTTGGCCGGTGCAGACGGTGACAGGGTCTTGCATAAGTTCGAGTGAGATAGGACATCTGAAATGGTATGGTATTTGGATCCCAAGATCCAACGGTTCTAAGTTCCTAGGCATTAAAGAGAATTCAGAAAACAGAGACAGAGAGAGAGAGAGAGATACTACAAAGAGGTTGGAGAAGAAGAAGAGATTGTTGTTGTTGTGACTTGTGAGAGGAGTATGAGGGAACGAACGAGAGACCTTATCTGGGTATGAACGAGACCACACGTGTGCCATTTATAACTTTGTTTACCTCCTGGATTATTCTTTTTTTTATTTAAATAATTAAGTTTAAATTCCTGATGTTAATTTTTAATTTAAAAAGTTTAGTGAACATCATTATGCCATCTACGTAAATATATTTTTGAGGAGAAAAAAATGAAAAAAAGTCGCATCTTAGAAGTAAAGCTTAAGATTTCTTATGAATCAATGATATACAATTAAACATATATCTCCTATGATAACCTTACGACTATATTTATCTTTTATTATTACGTTCAAAACATTCTATACTTGCGTTCTTAAAATCTCAATTTTAATGCTTAAATTGAACCCCAAAAACAAAATAAAACATGCATGGTTGTTTTTATCTCTATCACGGCAAACAAAATAAATTTTTCATTATTTCTTACGTAGAAAAGGATAATTATTAGGAAATATTTGAAAGTTTTTTTTTTTTGCCTGTTTATTAACAAAGAAAAAAGGTTTAATTGACTGTTAAACATGCGTCTAATTCCAAAAATGCTTATATGGAACAACAAACTTGATACAACAACATCATCTGTGTTTTTTTTTTTTTTTCTTACATACCATGCTAGAACAAAGTTCAATTCAGTTCAACAAAACTATATACTGTAGTATATAACTTGTTAGTTAAGACCGTAAATTTCGTAATATCCCCCATAATTAAGTTGAAAGCTTAACGAATGAGAGACTTCGATATATATATCTACAAAAAAATAAAAATCAACAATTATGAATAATGATGACATTCAAACTTTATTCAACCGCAAGCTTCAAGTTACGACCGCTTTTTAATCACTACCCGCAACCACCAAAGCCATTGTTGTGGTCTAATATGTATATATAGATATGTCAAAAACAGGATCATCTAGATTTCATTTTGTGTGATGTAGCTTTTGTTTTGGTATATAAATAAATAATAGAATTTGGGTCAAACCAAAAAACCACAGTGAATTGCGAAAGACTAGGAACGAAGTAATGGGGACCTACACTACACTAGTCACTAGACACAACAAAGACAAGTTCCCACTTACTTTGAGTTAACATCAAAGCCCCCGTGATGATAACCACAAATTCACATCCCCTATGAAAGCCTTGACTGTTTTTTCTTTTACGGCAATTACTTTGACTCGTTTCTTCGTTTCATTTCACGTATGCTATGAATACCACTTCTTTTTTGCACGCATCTTTCTTGAGATAATGCTTTCGTTTTCTATAGCTTTAATCTTACTTACACCTATTATTAGTTTGAGAGTTTGTTTCTCTCCAACTTATTTTTTTTACCTTCTTCTTTTTTATGATATAAATTATCACAACATATACATAGAAGTAGGAATTTAGAAACTACAAATTAGAAGTTGAAAGCAAAAAACTCATTTACACATAAATTTACGAATAAATTAACTTCGACTCTTCAACACATATATCAACTTCCATAATGGAGCTTCGTTTTCACAACTTCAGTTAAGGTCATAATTACACATAATTCTACAAAACTTAGCTGGGGACAAAAGTTGTCATCGATTAGCTGGTCTAATCTACATACATACAGTCTCCATTTCATATGAGTAAAAAAGAAAAGTCAGTAAACTTTATAGCTCATTTCCTCTAATTAAGCATTGAGCAATTTAGTCAATAATGACTATATATATTTTAAGTAGTCAAGGACTCGAAAGTCGAAAACAATAGATCGGATTTTTGATATGGAGCTTTGAAAATTTAGACTTCACTCAATTAAATACAAAACTTTCAAAGTAGTGAAATTTAAGATAAGTTGGATGTGTTGGCTTTAAGTAGGATCGAAAACATTCAACGATAACTTTTCCTAGACTTTTTGACAAAAAAGGTGCCGTGGAAAAATAAAATATTACTGCTATCGGTTTAAAATGAATACTAGCTCATAGTATAGTCACATTGTAAAACTAGCTAATATAATCACATTTTTTAAATAGTTAATATAATCACATCTGATGACCTTGTTAATTATTTTCTTCTGTTATATATATCCAATGATGAGGATATTATAAAAAGGAAGACAAATATTCGACGACAAATACATCGAAATCGAAAATAAATCCGGGAGGTGGACTTGGACCTTCATATTTCCGATCCTTAGCTTTGTCTACTTTCTTAATAACTTTTTATATATAGTTTGAAATATTATTATTATCTGCAGACATCGAAAGGCAAAGTGCAGAATCTGCCTGTCTTTGCATTGTCCTCATGGGAACAACTATATAAGAAGCTTTTCATTTTGTTTTTGTTGTTTGTGTTTTTTTCTTCTTTGTTCTAATGCCTTTGTCGAAACCCCTCCCGGTGAAACAAAAGAATCTCTCACCATATAAAACTAAAAATATAATTGTTTTCTAAGTATAAAAAAAACTAGTACGTTGCATGTAGCAATGCTGGAATTGTCAAATGTATCTCTTGAAATCTATAATTTAGATTTCAAATATTGTCATTATATTGTTTAATGATTATTAGCAAAACATACAGTGCATATATATATATATATATATATATATATATATATATATATATATACCTACGTGTATATTTGAGTTCTATATATCAACTAAAAAAAAAAAAACTTGTACATATAAATCAATGTGGAAATTTAGCGTTTGTACTATGATAACATTGTAACTATGGTGTACCGTGTACGTACATTCGAAAATAATACTTTTCCAGTTCTTACCTAAATGATTTGAGTGTACACTGTACACCATAGGTCCATAGTGATACGTGTTGTTATATTATTTGATAGCAAAATTCGTGACATTATATATAAACTAGTTTCCTATAGTTCGTCCAAACACGATCGATGTAAGAAATAGCGCTAGATTTGATCAAAATAATTGGCATCATCGTCATCGACATCGGGCATGTGGTAATGGAAGCAAGTCAAAGGTCAAAGAATGAAGACAGGAGTGTTTCGAAGCTGGTCCAGGCTTCGTCCTACTCCTCTCCTACCTCGTTTTTGGTTAAGGCTAAACCGAATTGGATTATATTTTAAAGATATTTTTGATACGACTAATTTGATTCCTAATTAAAAATCAGAACTTAATTGTATTTTCATCGATTAAAGAAGCGTGTGGTTCAAACCTCATCACACGATAACTCATTGCGAATCGAATAATACGGTATACGATTTTGACGTACATATATGTTTTTTAGTAGTAAGTTCTCTCACACGAACATAATATTAATATATATATATATATATATACATATTAGACAACACACACGTATGACGTAGCTCAAGCATATGAGAATCAATTAGGTAATGCTATATATATGCTTATTGATTATAAAATCCTATATTCCACCAAGTAAGGTCATTGGAGAATTTGTTCATTTGCTGATCTCGACACGTATCCTTTATCCTCTCATAGTGAAGAAATGAGTGTAATACCCACAAGAATTGTTTGATACACTTTTTGATATTTTTCCTGTATAAAGACTACGAGATTTAACGTTTTTTAACATATGCTTCTACTACCACTTCAGAATTACTTTATAGATCTTTTTTTGTGTACCAATAGAGAAGAATGGTTAAAAGGAGCAGAGATGGAGTGAGTTACACACACGCGTCAGGGCGTGTGTATGAGAGAATATACAAATGCGCGGCGCCTATTCACGACCCTACTGTCTCCAGTCAACCCTGCACTGTCGTTGTTGCACGTGCTTCTCTCTTCTCCCACACGTGCTTCCCAGCTCATTCTCTCTGTTAATATTACTAATCTGGAGTATATGTTTTTCTTCTTCTTTACTCTAACCACAACAAATATATATATTCCGAAAACAACAATACAATGTAAACAAATACAAACAATATTCGAAACCATTATATAACTTTTTTGTCCGTTAAAAAAAAAAGATTTGATTCCCAAATTCGTAACAATTACTGCCACTCTCGGATAGTTCAGTTGCTTTTTAGTTTTCTTTTGTTTGTTTTTTTCTCGATGTGTTATATATAGAGCTTTTTATCCAATGGGTTTCATTTGCTTTCTTTGTACTTTTATTCTTTATCCTCTATCTCTCTCTCTATATATATATATATATATGCATGCATGAACTAACGTTATATATAATCTTATCATATACGTCTGATCAGATTTAATCCGTTTGTAGAGCATTAGGATTAGGGAGGGAACAATGGTTAATCTATTTCTTTTTCTTTCGAATAAATCCATTTACATGTGATTTTAATTCATAGTTAAGTCATCAAAGAATTTTAGAAGACCGCCGATCTTAACTTAGATATAATTAATATGCTTTTGACGTCCAAGGCAAACGTATCTTTATGGCTTTGAGAAAACTTATTATTTTTTTTTTTTTTTTTTGAGATATAACTAGTTTATTACGTACTAGTAGTATTGTACTAACTCGTGACTTCGATATTTAAATTTATTGCAAATTAGCTTTAATGTTGCGTACGTATCCTTGTCACGGATCACCTTTACAACCCTTTTTTCCTTTTCTATATATCGGGAAAAATGTAATTTGATTTGATTGTACAAGCATTATGGTTTAATTGCGTGAAACGTAGAAACATATATCCGTTTGTATTAGCTAAAGTATGAAATTCATATTTTAAATAGTACACTATCATTTTAAGTTTTCGATGAAAATTGAGACATTAGATAGAAACTATATAAACTCCAATGTTTGATCAAAACACTAGAATGCTCTCTTTTTCTTAGAAAAACACTAAGGTGTTATTAATTGGTTTATATGATTTGTAAATACATAGTTTTTGAAATAACATGTTTTATTTTTGGATTCGAATTCTTCTATTTTACACTATTAAATCCATTTAAAACATACTACGGAATTTTAAATCCAAAATCAAATCACTAAAAGAATACATAGGATTTTAACTAGTATTTATAAATCATACAACCAATAACACATGATTTTGATAATTATTTTAAAATCAATAATTGAATAAACATATAGTCTTTGTTTCGATTTCTAAATCTGTTAACCTTCATGAACGAATAAGAGCATCATTAATCATGGGCTTTTAACCCATTATGATACTTAGAACTTAGTTAGAATCAAAAGAAGTATTGGCCCAATATATACAGAAATGGCCGAATTAGAATTCAACGTATGGGTAACTGGATAGTTTTGCAATTGGGCTCGTAGAATAAGATACATATAGAAGAACGTTGGAGTCTCGCGACTCACTGTATTGTAGCGACTAGCGATGAAGTTAGAGGGAAAAAAAAAGACATTACGAACAAAAATAGAAAAGATACCTTTCTTGACACACTGTCAAACTTTTGGGTTTAGATAAAATGATAAATAATTGCAAACATAGCCCAACTCCACGAGCATTGGCCGCCGCCGCATGGCATGACCGCATCGTCAGTAACAGCGTATATCGCTGAAACAACCTCAACTCAACAAAACTAAGTCACACGGCTTATTACGTCTCTTGTGTTAAAATAATAAATATGTCTAATCTTTAACTAACATTACTTGGTATTCAGTGATTATCCTTTTCTTCTTCTTCGTCGGCCCATTAAATTAGATGAAGACGAGTCATCGTTTATCTTAATGACTTAGAAAAACAATTAAATTAGGTAATGCTAGTTAAAATAAACTTTGTTGCACGTTGTCCGGCCATTTTTGTCTTATGACGTTTGCCTACCTCTATGATCTTATCTAACTATCCTTTTCTTCTCTTCCCATACTTTGTACAACATCATCAAAGAACTGTTCAACATTTTCTTGGAGACGCAAATGACCTCAATACATAATGATTTTACTTAATCGATAACATTACCAAAGCCAACCCAATGAGTTGTTTGCAGTAATTTACCCCTAAATTATTGAGCAACTAGTGTTTAGAGTTGAGATGAACAGACTTTTTCCCAATCTTAACATAACTAATAAAGACTTAGGCACTATATAATAAATTAGTCTTTTAGAATCTTGGCCATATTTTATCAAAACTTATACAGTAGTGTGGATCTGTGTGGCTAAACCAAAATACAAAAAAAAACTGCTAACGAATGCTGCATTGATTTAGATCTCAACCATATTTTCAAATGAGCTTTGATATTAATATAGATGAATGATTCAATCTTCGATATTCGAAGCTGAAAACAATACATACTTCAGTTAAAACTATCAAAGATATTAAAAAGTCGAAACTCCTATTTACACGAACTATATAACAAAGACACTAAAAGCTCGTGGCCGGTGAGATTCAAAATGAAGAATGCTAACCCCAATAAAACCATCTCAATTCCACTACGTTGCCTCTTAAATACTCGTAATGTTTAAAGATAATAATGTACATATGAATTATGAATATATGATATGGGATTTGGTCAAACAAAGACTTATGCATGATGTCTTCAGAAACGAGGATTACATAATAGTCTTATACTATAACTAGGTCCGGACCCGCGCTACAGCGCGGAGGAAATAATTACATATATATAACTTTTATCGGATTAGAATATGTTACATTTTAATTTTGTTAGAGTGCAGTCGATTACGGCAAATCATATATTTGTATAATAAGTTTAAATAAAATAATAAAGGAAAAAGCGAGTAAATAATCATATAATGAGTTTTGATACAATTAAAAACACGGTGAAAATTTAACAGCACTAAATAATATTTGTCGATAAATTATTCATTTTGGCATTTTTGTAGTAAAAGTAGGAATATACGTAAAAATTACATATTGACAATATATTTTTTGAAAGTCCAACCCGTAACAGAATTCATTTCGTAAAAAACATTATTCGTAACTCGTTTTATCATTATAATTGTGATTTTAACAAACTACCCGTGAATTATCTAAAATTTACATATTTTGATATATAATATATTTTATCAATAAAAATTATGTCTCCAAAATTACATTTATATCTTCAAAAAAATATTTCGATATTTTAAATTCTAAAAGTTTTATATATATGAACCTTTTATTTATAATATTTTGAAACTATTTGAAATATTAAATATGCTCATGTAACAATGGTTTTAATATTGGTCATACTTATAATGATTTTAAACCCTTGTCCAAAATATTTAACCGAGTGTAGTTGAGTATTATATGTCCGTTTTGAAAAATTTAAATTGCAACATATGCGAAAAAAAAGTTAAATTTTTATTAAATATTTATATTATATAGTATAATATCATAAATTAAAAATAATATCAAATAAAAGTGAAAGAAGAATAATATTTTTTAAATAGATTGTATTAAATTAGTTAGAGAAATATTAGTAAATCTTATAATTAGTTATGGAAATAATACAATCCTAAAATTAGATTTGGAAAGTATCCGGTGTATATATCCAAACCCATTAATCTATCCAATTTTAAAAGATTCAGTTACAAATTTCGGGTAATTTTTTGAAATTGACCCGACCCGGAAACACTTTTTGTACTTCTCTTTTACTAATATAGGGATTCTAAAGTCTTGAGGACGAAGAGTTCCTCATTTTTTTTTTTCTTATCGCAAATGTTATTAAGATGCAAGCAACACAAAAATAATCCAAGAAATTATGAAAATGATATATTTGCATCGATTAATGTAAAACATACAATAGTAATACGTTGTATGGCCACGACATACATAAAATAAGTAAATAACAATATGGTATCGAACTTTAATAAATAATACAGTACAGTAATGTGCTATTTTTTATAGTGTTGGCCAAAGTGCGTGTAACACATGGGTTCATAGTACCCTTCCGGGAAAGGTTAGTGTCGTCAAGAAACTACTCTGTCAAAAGTTTAGCATTAGGTTTTCCATTCTAAGAACTATGCTTGCAATCAGAAGAAAACGATTCCACAAAACTCATTATTATATCATCTCGTTAAAGTTTTACCCAAAAATCTAGTACATCTACTGATCTAGATAATTATAACTAATCAAATTACCAAAATGAAGTTTATCTACATTTTTGTCATAGATAATTATCAGTTTAAAGTTTATATCACTTTAAAAAAAAAAAAAACTATACGACTAAGTTTTAAACATACAAATTATAAAGCCATGAAGGGAACCATCTAATCATCTATGCCCATGTGATGTGACATTAATTTGTATTTTATTTGTATTAGGAATAAAATATATGAATAAAATAAGATGACACGTCAGAGCCAATACGAAGAACACATCTATCTCAATCGCTTTCTTCTCTTCTCTCGACGACAAAAGTCTCAAACTCTATAAATACTTTCAACGCAAACAGTTGCAAAAATATATCTCAAAATCGAAACGAAACACACAAAGCTAACAAATATGGCTACTACTACTGCAATCAGATTCGTAACCCTAGCTCTCGCTTTCTTCTCTGTGTTACAACTACTCTCCTTGTCCCTCGGCGGCGTCACAGCGACGGAGACGACGCGGAACGAGGCGGAGGCACGGCGGATGTACGAGCGGTGGTTAGTGGAGAATCGTAAGAACTTTAATGGTCTCGGAGAGAAAGAGAGACGGTTCGAGATCTTCAAGGACAACTTGAAGTTCGTGGAAGAGCACAATTCGGTACCGGATCGGACTTTTGAAGTCGGGTTGACCCGGTTCGCTGATTTGACGAACGATGAGTTCCGTGCGATTTACTTGAGGAGGAAGATGGAGATGACTAGGGTTCCGGTGAAAGGTGAGAGGTATTTGTATAAGGTCGGAGATAGTTTGCCTGATGAAATCGATTGGAGAGCTAAAGGTGCTGTGAATCCAGTCAAAGATCAAGGAAACTGTGGTATGTTTAATTGCGTCTGCGTTTTGTTAATTGCTATTATTTGCTTCTTCTTTTTTTTTTTCGTATTTGAGCTGATTAGTGATGTTATGTATTTGTTAAATGTTACAGGAAGTTGTTGGGCGTTTTCGGCGATTGGAGCGGTTGAAGGGATAAACCAGATTAAGACAGGGGAGTTGATATCTTTGTCTGAGCAAGAACTTGTTGATTGTGATACGAGTTACAATGGTGGTTGTGCTGGAGGTCTCATGGATTATGCTTTTCAGTTCATTATTAAAAACGGTGGGATTGACACAGAGGAAGACTATCCTTATGTTGCAACTGATGTTAACATGTGCAATTCCGACAAGGTACGAAAACCGTTGATTGTAGTAAAGATGATGTTGTTCTTTTGTTGTTTTGATTTATGGTCTTAAAAATGTTGTATACTAATGTGTTATGTTGTTCTTTTATTTCTTGCAGAAGAACACTCGTGTTGTTACGATCGATGGTTATGAGGATGTTCCTCAAAACGATGAGAAGTCTTTGAAGAAGGCTCTTGCTTATCAACCAATTAGTGTCGCCATTGAAGCCGGTGGCAGAGCTTTCCAGCTTTACAAATCTGTAATTTTCAATGAACCTTATTTACCTTGGTTTTCTCTTCATCCAAGATTGGTTTCTAATTCATTAAAAATGATCCCTTTTGTTTTTTTTATTTTTTATCTCAGGGTGTGTTTACAGGAACGTGTGGAACATCTTTGGACCATGGTGTGGTAGCCGTGGGATACGGGTCAGAAGGTGGTAGAGACTACTGGATTATTCGTAACTCATGGGGATCAAACTGGGGAGAAAGCGGATATGTTAAGCTCGAACGTAACATCAACGAGTCATCAGGGAAATGCGGTGTGGCGATGATGGCTTCTTACCCTACCAAATCATCGGGTTCAAACCCACCAAAGCCACCCCTACCTTCACCAGTTGTTTGTGATAAGTCTTACACTTGCCCACCTAAGTCCACTTGTTGTTGTCTTTATGAGTACGAAGGTAAATGCTATAGCTGGGGATGTTGCCCACTTGAGTCAGCCACTTGCTGCGACGACGGTTCTAGCTGCTGCCCTCAGTCATACCCAGTATGCGATTTGAAGGCCGGAACTTGTAGAATGGTTAGTTTCTTGATGTCTTAAAAAGACAAAATTTCAAGTGAAATCTTTTGCCTTTTTCTTGGTTTTCTTTTGTTCGTTGCTGATTGATTCTTTTGGTTTGAACAGAAGGGAACCAGTCCGTTGAGCGTAAAAGCTTTGACCCGAGGACCAGCGACTGCAACCACAAAGTCTACAAACGTGCTTGTGAGCAGCGCTTGAGGAGGAAAGGATACAAAGGAAGAACCGATTTGTTTCCATCCCACGTTCTCACAAGATTCAGTCTTATTCCAAGTTCGAAATTCGGATGATAGTTTGATTACTCTCGTTAATTCTAATGTTTTATCTTGGATTTGATTTTTAATTGCTGTAAATCATTTAAGAAGTAATCTTATATATGCTCCCATAGCATTATTGTCATCTCCCTTGAATAATAAGCTTTAACCAAATTGAATCTGGAACGGGCCCTTCCTTAAGGCTCAACAAACGTTTGCTTTTAGGTAACAAAGTATCATCATCGATTACATCTTGTTTTTTGTAAGTTAAATTTCAGTTCTAAGCATAGCTAAGCTAGAGTTGTAGACAAATGGTTTGGTTATAATCAAGTTGTTCTCTTTTTAATCTTGCCAAATTCTAATAATACAACCACTCTCTTTCACGTTTTGATGAAAATACTACTGTATAAAAAATTCTTTGAGTTATTAGACACGTGATGGAATCATATAGTATATATTTTTTTTGTAATTGGTCACAATACCAAAAAACACAATTACTGATCCATCTGCCTCTTCTTGTCTGGACGCCAACTCTTGCACAAATCTCACTGAAACACAAAACCAATGGCTACTCGAATCATATCTATAACCTCAGCTCTCCTGATCCTATCTGTATTACTACTTTCCTCGTCTACGGGAGTCGTCACAGGAACAGAGACGAAGCGGAACGAGTCGGAGGAGCGGCTGATGTACGAGCGATGGCTCGTGGAGAATCGAAAGAACTATAATGGTCTTGGAGAGAATGAGAGACGCTTCAAGATCTTTAAAGACAACTTGAAGTTCATCGACGAGCACAATTCGGTTCAGAATCGGACTTATGAACTCGGGTTGACCCTGTTCGCAGATCTAACAAATGATGAGTTTCGAGCTATTTACTTGAGGAAGAAGAAGATGGAGAGAACTAAAGATTCAGTGAAATCTGAGAGATATTTGTACAAAGAAGGAGATGTTTTGCCTGATGAAGTCGATTGGAGAGACAAAGGCGCAGTTGTACCAGTCAAAGATCAAGGAAACTGTGGTATGAATTTTAGATATTTCTTATATCTTTTTTTTTTTTGGATTTGAATCAATTTCACGTTTTCTGAACTTGAAACGATTGTGAATTGCGATTTTTTCTAAATGAAACAGGAAGTTGTTGGGCGTTTTCTGCGGTTGGAGCGGTTGAAGGGATAAACCAGATCAAGACCGGAGAGTTGATATCTCTGTCGGAGCAAGAACTCGTTGACTGTGACAGAGGTTTTGTCAACGCTGGATGTGATGGAGGTATCATGAACTATGCTTTTGAGTTCATAATGAAAAACGTAGGTATTGAGTCAGATCAAGATTACCCTTACACCGCAAACGATCTTGGCTTGTGCAACGCCGCTAAGGTTCTTCAACCAACATAATGACATTTTTTTGATGCGATTGTTATGTTTCCATAAGATTTCATCTATGTTTTAATGATTATGCAGAATAACAATAGCCGTGTTGTTGTAACCATTGATGGCTATGAAGATGTTCCAAGAGACGATGAGATGTCTTTGAAAAAGGCTGTTTCTCATCAACCTGTTAGTGTTGCCATTGAAGCTAGTAGCCAAGCTTTCCAGCTCTACAAATCAGTAATTTTCAATCACTTAACAAAAAAAGAAAAGCTTGATTCTTGAAACGTGGCTAAGAATCTATGTTTTGTCTTCTTTTATCAGGGTGTGCTTACAGGAACATGTGGGATATCTTTGGACCATGGTGTGGTAGTGGTTGGTTATGGATCCTCTAGTGGTGAAGATTACTGGATCATTCGTAACTCATGGGGATCAAATTGGGGAGAAAGCGGCTACGTGAAGCTCCAACGTAACATCGATGACTCATTCGGGAAATGTGGTGTAGCAATGATGGCTTCTTACCCGACCAAGTCATCATTCCCATCGTCATTTGATTTGGTGTCTGAAATTTGAAATGATATTCCTGTCAACAATATTAAGAACTAGTTTGAGTATATTTCACTACATAATTCAATGGGTCAAGTCAAAGTATTTGAAAGTCTCACAACATGCATATTAACATTAATGAAGATTCAAATCTCTTATCTTGTATGTTAAAGAAACCTGTTTAGCAGCAAAGTTGGTGTAAATTGATGAGATGAGACTATCAAAGTGGTGTAAATTGGAGGGATTACGTGCAATGTTCTTCAGTTCAGATCCAAAAAAAAAAAAAAAACATGAGAAAACGTTTATAAAGATCTAACGGCACAGATTGACCCTTGACCAAAACTCCCACGTGACTTGATCTCACCGATACTCTCTATTGGTTTATTTTTTTCTTTCCCCAAATCTGATCTGAATCCGTCGAGACCCCAAAGTTAAGAGCTTGCTCCTGAACAAATCTGCGCGCGTTCTAAATCTTCTTAACTCGTTCGCTTTCGATTTTCATCCACGAAGCAAGCTTGATCTCTGAGGTTTCTTCTTTCCCTCGAAATTTTATTCTGTGATTCTATGAATCATTTCTCTGATCTGGTTTCGAGATTTTTGATTTTTGGTTTCTGGATTCGAATAGGTTTAGCTTGCCTTCTCTGCTTTTTTTATGAGGGTTCATGCGTGATCGCACGTTAATTGTTGTTTAATCTCTTTGTTTGATTAACTCCACATTTTAGCTTGATTTTTTTTTGAAATTGAAATCTCAATTATTCTGATTTTGTAGTTTTGATTTGTAATTCTTCCACTTAAATGTATTTTCCTGAAATGTGATGTCTTTGCCAGGAAAGAAGATTTGCGACTTTGGGTTAATTCACATTTTGGGATTCTAGATTAAGATAGAAACAATGTCGTCTTCTGAGTCACCGAATTTGCCTGCTGCGGTAACGATACCAGATGGTCAGCCTCCTCCTGCTTCTGCTTCTGTTGTAGAAGCTAGAAACGATGATTCACCTAAAGGGGTTGCATCAAAACTCTCTGCCTCTGGGATATCAACATGGGCAAAAAGTTTGAAAGTTCCACAGCCATTTGCTTCCTCGCAAAACGACTCTGCTGTCGAGAATACCGAAAAGTCTGCTTTTGCAAAGTTTACTAGCGGGTTAGGGCTTCGTTTATCTCCGAAATCTCCTCAATCAGGTGAGACCACAGAAGGCACTTCAACTGCTACAGAAACCAGTTTCATTGGGACGATTACAAAAGGTTTGGTAGATACATCAAAGAATGCTGTCAAGGCAGTACAAGTCAAGGCTCGACACGCTGTATCCCAGAACAAAAGAAGATATCAGGTGCAATTAACTTTGTGTCATCTGTTTTGCTACCCAGTAACTTCTATGCTACCTTGTTCCTCATATGACATCAAATGTCACTTGTGGTTCAGGAAGGAGGGTTTGATTTGGATCTAACGTACATAACAGAGAACATAATTGCAATGGGGTTTCCTGCTGGTGATATGAGTTCTGGTTTTTTTGGATATGTCGAGGTGAGTCAATTAGCATGCTTGTTATCGTTTCCCCTGGATTTGTTTCAAATCACTGTTACCAATATCCGTTCAAAACATCATTGTAGGGTTTCTACCGTAACCAAATGGAAGAAGTTATCAGCTTTCTTGAAACGCAACACAAGGTATTGCTACTGATTTGTTGGCAAAACAAATTAATCCTTTATCTTTGGCTATATAATGCATTTTTTGCTGTTTTCATTGTTAATCTACCTATATGTCTCTTTTGTATCACTTGAAATAATATTCCTAACATAGAGACTGGTTCACCTTATCTTACAAGTTATTGATGATTTTTTCTTGATCATAAGCAACTCTGCATATTATATTTTGCCAAATTTTAAAGAGGCTTCTAAAATATTAGTCTGTGTAGACTTATACTGAGTTTCTTGACTTTTGTGATATTAGTTGAATCATGGATATAAGAAATTTTAATTGGTATTTGATATTCATATGTCTAATTATTTTCAGATGTGTGACATGTTGTCTTGCCATCTTCCTTTTGGAAATTAACTTATGTATGATGCGTTTTGCAGTTAGCTACAGCCTTGATAGGTTCTGCTCTTCTCTTGTGCTATTCTTATAATTGCTTTCTTCTTTATTTTTGTAGGGAAAATACAAGGTTTACAATCTTTGTTCAGAGAGGTTGTATGATGTATCATTATTTGAAGGGAAGGTATGCTATTCCTTATTCTTTTTTTCTTCCTCTTTTCCTTGCATTTGGCAAACACATGGCCTCCTTAAGCAAAGATGCCTTCAAAAAATTAAGAAAAGTTGCTCTGTAGATCTTCCAATGCACTGTTTCAAGTTTCTTTTAACTCTGCAGTACTTATGAAACAGCATCCATCAAAATGATTGTTTACATTGTTGCATATGTACAAAGTTGTGAATCTTGTGATAATTTGCTCATTTATTTCCTGATCGTTGGACCTGTCATATTAAGACATGCTGCAATGAGGTGGCTAATTCTGTGTTACGGATAATGTAACCAATTCTTCTATACAGCAGGATTTATTTCTAGGGTGATAACTATTATGTTCACATAATGCGCGCAAAGTTGTTAAATATTTACCCTCCATCTTTTGTCTGTTTTAGTGTCCCTATACATCTTATTTTGTGCTGATTATTCTGGCTCCAGGTGGCCAGTTTCCCTTTTGATGATCATAATTGTCCGCCAATCCATTTGATCACCTCATTCTGCCAAAGTGCATATTCATGGTTAAAGGAGGACATTGAGAATGTTGTGGTTGTTCACTGTAAGGCTGGCATGGCAAGGACAGGGCTTATGATATGTAGTCTTCTGTTGTATTTGAAGGTAAGAAAATCACTTTAACGTTGTATTGAACAATCCATCAAAGGGAACCAATCATGTTTCCTTTTCTTATTTAGTTCTTCCCGACTGCTGAAGAGTGCATGGACTTCTACAATCAGAAGCGTTGTGTGGATGGAAAAGGACTTGTGCTACCCAGCCAAATTGTAAGTCTAGTTTTCTAATTTGTATAATTTAGCCGCTCATGAAAACATTCTTTACCCTTCTGCTAACTATTGAGTCTGTTTAATCATATTATTGTGTAGAGATATGTGAAATACTTTGAACGAATTTTGACCTACTTCAACGGGGAAAATCAACCAGGGCGTAGGTAAGCATCTTATTCATATACCTTAATATAGCATACAACTGTTTATCAACATCAAAAAAATTTCTTTTGTTAGGTGTATGCTTAGGGGATTCCGGCTCCATAGGTGTCCCTATTGGATCAGACCATCCATCACTATTTCAGATCATAATGGTGAGTTGGTCGATCCATTGCTTCATGACAACATACAAAGCCAGTATCATGCAGAGCTAACATCTTTCTGTAAATTATATGCAGGTGTTCTCTTTACCACGAAAAAACATCCTCGGACCAAGGATCTCTCGGTACGTCATTGTTATTTATTACTTTCTTGTTACCAAGTATTTTGTTAAGTTCTTTGTGAAATCACATTGTTCAATTAATTGGAATCTTTTTATTTTTTTGCAGTCTGAAGACTTTTGGTTCAGTGCCCCAAAGAAAGGGGTTATGGTCTTTGCCTTACCCGGAGAGCCAGGTCTAACAGAATTGGCTGGGGACTTCAAAATCCATTTTCATGACCGCCAAGGAGATTTCTACTGGTTAGGAAGCTAGTGCCTCGTTCCCCATAATACATACCAATATTACTATTATTTTTTGCTTCTCTCACTATTTTTTGCATGCTCTTCTCAGCTGGTTAAACACGACAATGATGGAAAACAGAATGATCCTAAAAACAAGTGAGCTTGACGCGTTTGACAAGGTAATATAGCTGAATCTTTGACTCTGTGTGTTAAGTCTGATGTTGGGCTCTTTCTCCATCAATCCTCGTGCTTGAAATGATATATCTTTGTGTTTGGCCTTTGTTCCAATGCAGAGGAAGCTACCATCGCCTGGATTTATGGTTGAAGTTGTTCTTGCTGATATAAATGCAACAATCCCTACGAATCCTAGTTCTGAATCAGCATCCAAAACACCGGAAGAAACTTCTGCAGCTAATTCTTCCCCTGTAGACGGCTCTGCATCGGTTCCAGGACCCAATAAAGAAACAGAGGATCCTGATAAGGACGATGTGTTCTCTGATAACGAAGGAGACTCAACTGGCCCGACCAAAACCACATCATCGGCTTCTTCTCAGAGCCCAGAAGCCAAACAGAGCGCAGATGAAACCTCTGTTCTGACGAAAGCAACTGAGAAGGTGTCTATTTCTGGAAACAATGGATCATCGCAGCCTGTGCAAGGGGAACCCGTTAGCAAGGCTGGAGCGACAGAGAAACCCTCTGGGGCTGTGGTCAATGCTACCTCAAGCTCAGAGAGTGAGTTCAAGGTTATGGCAGCTGATGCATCTGTATTCTCATTTGGAGATGAAGACGACTTTGAAAGCGATTGAAGAAAGGATGATCAAAACGCAGAAACATGTGTACATAAAAACAGGGAATGTTAAATCAGTCTGATGATTCATTGTGTTGTGGCTTCTTGTTATGATGTTGAATTCCACGGTCTTTTGTTTCTTTTTTGCTTTACCGTATCACTTCGTTCTTTTTAGTATTACTGCACAAAATTATACATTGGTTGCTTACATCTTTGTGTTATGACTTTAGTATTTGGAATCATAGATTATCACTGATTTCTGGCTTATCCCGTGAATAAACGATGGGTGTGAAATGTACTTGGTGTATTTCTATAAATCTTGGAACATAAATACATAATTAGATGTAATTGGTCGAATCTTCTACTAGTTTATATTAATACACGGCTACTGACGCCATGCGAAAACTGACGATGAAGGTTTAATTCTTTGGCTCCACGGACCATTTGCTCCCAATCCTACCCTGTTCTTATCATATAGACCAAAAAGCCTCTCAATATTCGTCGAACCCTTAATCAATAGATACAATCTTTTCTTTGTTTAGACTTTAGAAATTAAAAGAATGTCGAGTTATTAAACCAAAGCAACGTACGTATTACGCTTCCTAAACCATTTTTTAGGAAATGCGATGATGTTTCCTTCTAAAGAGACGGAGTGTAGTGTATCCTGAATATATATATTTTACGTTATCTTTCCACCTTTATGGGAGAATCACTTCATCATAAATTAAGTGAATAACTTATCCACATGCTACTTTTGTTATACATCATATTTTCATGGAGTGTAACCAACATTACCAAATATATTCATTAATGTTCAAGGGAAACAGTTTTTATTTATTTTTAGTTCAAACACTTCAACAAACCAAAGAAAGTAGTTATTCGTATGTCTCAGCTAGAGATACGCTGACACGGATAGGGAGATACCAGCTTCGATGCTCTGACTCGTATCTAGTTTTATTTTGATTATACGTTACATACTTGCATGCATTATACAATTTTTTTTTTGTTTTCAAGATATATTCAAGATACATATTCCGATTTTCTCATATCATTAAATTTTGTAAAGCAAACAAGAAGAAAATTAATACAAATTCACATTTCAATAAAATTCATGAAAAGTAAAGTTACATGTATTATTACATGTTTCCTTTTCTCGACAATATTATTGTTCTAGGAAAAATCAACCATGTTACACATTTTATTAAGTTATAATATTATAGTTACCAATTTTGCATAATGGTATATATTGTAGTAGGAATGAAATCAGGAGTGTCTATCTCTTGCAGACAACTCCCTTGCCACCTATGCCACTGGCACAACTCATCTCAGGGAGCTCCAATTTGCTTCGGCCACCATTGCTGCCCACGTTACCGGTGAACCTTGCGGCTGAGCAGTCAGGTGCGAAAAGTCCGGTTGTCTGAAATTCTCTGTCACCACCCATCACAGGCATGTGGACTCCGATCTTAACTCGGCTAACATAGTTAGACCTGTAAGTCTGTCCCAAAACACCATCGACATTGTCGCTAAGGTCTTGGAACTTGAAGCCGAGGTCGAGATGAGCTAGGCAGTCGTCTTCCTTCACGTCGTAGCCATGGATTCTTGAGTCTTCCATTGTTATTGGCACCACTCTTGCTGTGATCTTAAGCAAACCATCTACGTCGACCTGAAAAAAATATATATATTTCAATTGACTACTATAGCTAGTATTATTAATAGTCTATTAGGGTTTAAGGTTAGGAATATAATAGCGTTTGTCCATACTAATATGTTTTAAATACGAAACAATTTGATATATTTTGAACTTGTTCTTTGAAGCGACCGTGTGGCTAAAGTAATATTGTTTTTAGGGCATACCTCGAGGTTGTTAGTGTCAGCGTTGACTCGCTTGACGGAGACCTGAGGGTATACTCCAGGGGAAGAAGTCCACGTGGCACCGTCTAGCTGAGGGAGTGAGATAACATTTCCGTCGAAAGAGACGGCGATCCGGTCAACGGAATCGTCCCACGTGGCAGTCTTGAGGGCTCCGAGGTATAAACGGTGAGTGCCGAAGAGCATGGCAATGGATTGGACCCATGTGAAGTCACGTGCCATACCAGGTCTACGTTTACCAATGAAATGTGCGTTGATGTGAAGGTTAGGATCAGAGATAAGGCAGAAGTTGGAGTCTTTCTTGCCGTGGAAGTAAAAGGTGAGACCATCTCCCCCGATGAAACGTGGGTCTTGGCAGACAGATCCTGGCTTGTCGCAATCTGCATCAAAATGTGTCATGAATATTTGGCATGTATTAAGTGATTGAGTAGTAAGGTATTTAAGGTGGAGGTCGATGGATTAAAATAACATACTGCAAAGAGGCTTGCAAGTGACGCAATCGACTTGACAAGAACGGGGACAAGCGGCGGGGCAAGTGTACTCAACACCGTAACATGGAGAGCCCTTCTTCCTACATCTGGCCCTACTGACTCCTGCTCCTGATTGGCCGTCTGATGGCGGGGGAACGTAAGGGGGAGAGCCAGGAGTAGTTGGCACGGAAGGTGTTGGAGTGGGGGGTGGTGGTGAAACTGGGGGAGTAGGACTTGGCACAGACGGTGTAGGAGTTGGAGGCGCTGGTGAAACTGGGGGAGTGGGATATGGTACGGATGGTGTAGGAGTTGGAGGTGGGGGTGAAACAGGTGGGGTGGGACTTGGCACGGACGGTGTAGGCGTTGGAGGCGGGGGTGAAACTGGGGGAGTGGGGCTTGGCACGGACGGTGTAGGAG